TGAATAAAAGACTGGTTTAGGATTCCACTGTGTTCTTCCTTCTCGTATATATATGGTTTGCGAGATATAAAAGAAGTTGATTGTATCTTATGTTATGAATATTTCTACCCTCAGTCCCAAATCTTATGTTATGAATATTCCTTCGCTTTCCACCTAAAAACAAGGAAAAATGTGAAGGTTCATATGGTGTGTAATGCAATGCTATTTGTTTGCAATTATTCATTGAGTAATCAAGTTTTTAACTTTATTTCAACTCAGATCAATCTTGATAACTCAGCTCAAATTATAGACCAAATTGATTGAGCTTGAGGAGAACAAAACACCATTTATAAGAGTGTGGAGACATTTTCCTAACAGACGCGTTTTAAAGCCTTGAGGGGAAGCTCGTAAGGAAAGTCTCGAGGGAAAGCTCGTAAGAAAAGCCCAAAGAGGACAATATCTGTTAACAATGGACCCGAGGGGAAGCTCGTAAGGAAAGTCTCGAGGGAAAGTTCGTAAAGCCCAAAGAGGACAATATCTGTTAACAGTGGACTTGGGTCGTTACATTTTCGGATCATCAAATTTTTTAAACACCCTTAGTTTATAAAATCAAGTAAACAAGTTTACTAAAAACAACGAATTTTTATAATTTTTTCTGGTCATCTTGATCTTATATTATTGCTTTAATTTATATGCTTCATTTTGAAGCATATTAATCATTTATCATATTAAATAATTTTTCTAAAATAAAAAGAATATTAGACACGCATCTTTTGTAATTATTTTTTTTTAAGGAGAAAAAAAATATCGAAAACCTTATTCATGTCTATATAAACACAGTCTTGGATTAGAGGTCATCCCAAGATAATTTTGGTCTCGATTATCGGAAACCCCCATCTCTCTCTATTTCCTAAAAAATCTCAGCCTTCACCCCCATTCCTTCGATTTCGCACTGCGATCTATGGCGTCTGGTTCAGCAGGTCGCCCTAATTCCGCCCCCAAATCGTTTGATTTTGGTTCTGATAATATCCTCTGCTCATTTGAGGACTACACTAAACAGGAACCTTCAAACGGTAGCCATAGCGATCCAGTCTCCGTTGCCAATTCTAGCAAGGTTCGTGGGGGTATTACTTGTTCCTACGTTTCTTTGGCTAGTTTTCTGTCCTGGGTTATGGATGTCTGAAAGTAATTTTCGATTTTTCATTGTCGGGTGCGATTAGGGTTTGCGATTTTTGATATTAACATTCTAGTTTTGATCGTAGTTGAATTGAGCGGTGTTTATTTTTGGCTTAAGAAACGAGTACTCGACTGTTAAGGGTAGAGATGATGATCCATGCCAATCCATTTTTGCATTAGCTGAGTTCTAGGCCTTATGCTTGTCTGGTTTATTCTTCAGCGAACGTTGTTGGTGCTTCAGAATGAAGTTAGTTGTTCAATTCAATTGTAGTTCGATATAATTTTGAATAATCATCCTAGACGAAAGGAACATTTGTTTTTACGTGGTCTTGGGTTTTGTATCTTATCCGCCTTGCATCTTTTATTTGTTCTTGTAAATAATGGGTTCATGAACTGATAGAGTGGAACATTTAACGCAATTATTATTGTTAGTATTTTCCGTTCATAAGCAAGTCTCATTAATGGTTGAAGTTGGTATTACTGATGGAGAATCCCATAGGATTATGAAGCTGCAATAGCAGCTTGCAGTGGCAGCAAGTATTATTGCTAGTCGTATTGTGGCTCGAGCATCCCCGACGATTTTATGTACTTTTTAATTGCCTTGGATTTATATAAACCATTCTATCAATTTTACTATACATGCAGCATCTCTCAGTTTATGTCTTCTGGAATCATATTAAATTAGGAATTCAATGTGTATTATTTTGTGAACGATTAAAGTTGTGCATATTTAAATGGGCAGGATTTTCACAAGAGTAGAATGTCTACTGTATTCCCTGGTGCTGCATATGGTCAACCAGATGATTCCATTAATCAAGATGTGATTGCTGCTGTTGAGAACAGCATGAAAAAGCATTCCGATAACCTTTTGCGTTTTCTCGAGGGAATAAGTTCACGCCTATCACAGCTTGAACTATATTGCTACAACCTTGATAAATCTGTTGGAGAAATGAGGTCTGACTTAGCCCGTGACCATGAAGAGGCAGATTCGAAGCTTAAATCTATTGAGAAGCATGTACAAGAGGTGAGCCACGACTTTAGAACTTCGAAGAGTTTGTCAGTAGTATCTTATAAAAAAGTGTTCGGAACTGGTACAATGAGGATCTTCTTTGATACTTTATGATCTTGAAAAAGTAACATTGTTTTCATTCATATTATATGATCATTTGTCGACACAATAAATGAATTGTGTCTAATGATTCAGTAGAAAGTAAGATTAGTTTGCAACGTAAACCTATCACTTGTTGACTCTTGAATCGTGCACTTGATGTGAAAAGCGACTGCTCTTTCCAAGCCGTGTATTGTTATCGTCATTTTTATTTCTTAAATTTTGGTATTGACCAAGAGGATTAGTAACATTTGAATTGAATTTGTACTTGATGCATTTCTGTAGGTTCACAGATCTGTACAGATTATCAGAGACAAGCAAGAGCTTGCTGAGACTCAAAAAGACTTGGCTAAACTTCAGGTCCCACAGAAAGAGCCATCTTTGTCGAGCCATTCGCAGACAAATGAGGAGAGGGTTTCAACCGATCCTAAAAAGAACGAAAATCCATCTGAGATTCACAACCAGCAATTAGCTTTGGCCTTGCCACATCAGATCGTCCCACAGCAAAATCCTATTACAGCACCCCCTTCAGCAGCTTTGCCTCAGAATGTGCCTCAACAACAGCAATCATACTACATTTCTTCATCCCAATTGCCTGGTCAACAACCATCTCATATCCAGCATGCTCAGAACCAGTATATCTCATCCGACTCCCAACACCGGGCATCACAACCTCAAGACGTTTCGCAGATGACCAATCCCCAGCTAAGTCAAACTCCACAACCATTTAATCAGTATCAACAACAATGGGCGCAGCCACCATCTCAGCCGGCACAACCACCACAACAGGCTTCTATGCAACCTCAGATCAGACCACCGCCTACTTCAGTCTACCCTTCTCCTTACCCCCCACCAAATCAACCAACTTCTATGCCAGAGACTCTGTCAAGCAGCATGCCTATGCAGATGTCTTTTGCATCTATTCCTCAACCTGGTTCAAGCCGTGCGGATGCAGTGCCTTATGGGTATGCCGCTGCAAGTGGTGGTTCTGCTCCACAGCAACCTCCTCAAGTGAAAAATGCTTATGGACCAGCAACAGGCGAGGGCTATATGCCTCCTGGACAACAGCCTGCGCTATCCTCTGGAGGAGCATATATGATGTATGATAGGGAAAGCGGAAGACCCCCACACCATCTCCCTCAACAGCCACATCATCCGTCTCAGCAATCCCACTTCAGTCAAAGTGGATATCCTCCGGCCAATGCACCTCATCAGGTTCCTCCTCAAGCTCCAACAGGCCCCCATGTCTCAGCCAGGAATCCAAGCCATTCACATTTAATCGAAAAACTGGTTGGCATGGGTTTCAGGGGCGACCATGTTGCCAGTATAATTCAGAGAATGGAGGACAGTGGGCAAACTGTTGACTTCAACGCAGTTCTAGACAGATTGAGTACTCCTGCAGGTCCAGGGCCACAAAGAGCGTGGTGAGTAATTTAATCAACCCCTGTTTGCGGCTCATCCTGGGCATGACCTGCCTCGTAAATTGCATCGTTTTAATGCATTGAATAAAATTTATCCTCGTACATATGTTGTTATGGTTTGTGAGATTTAAAAATGTCGGCTGTATGATTTAAACATTGTGTGAATATCTTCTACCTGCTATTTCAAATCTTTTCATATGACTTCCTCTTAATGTTTGTCAAGTTTTCTACTTTTCATACCCAAACATGTTTAGTAGTCAAAGACATCATTGGTGTTAGCCTGTTACTGTTACTGCTTGTGTTGTGCATTGGAATTCCACTCGAGACTTGGGAATAGGTTTGGTTTGGAATGGACATACCGCCATAGTAATAGGTAATAGGATTGGAATGGACATGCGGCCCTGGTCATATGACCGACGATCGTGACCTGACCACGACATCGTGTTTCCAAAGAGCATAAAAGAAGAAAGAATGTATTCATGCCGACACCTAACAACACAAGAAAAGGAGAAAGAATGCAGTCTTGCCGACGCCCTGTGGGGGTGGGGGTGTCCTTTGCTAGGAGTTAATGAAACAGCAAACAGCAGTGTTGAAAATGTGTAGTGCTATTGCCTGCTGGCTATGATTCAATTTACATTTACTTCCAGACAAACACGTCGTTGAGTTGTCCCTTTCCTCTGTGTCGCAGGCCCCACAGACATCAATGGATAATTTTAGTGCATTCTTTTCCGTGGCGTTTATTTGCTTCCTTATCTTATAAGCTTAAAAGCTTGTTTTTGGAACACTCCAGTCCTTATCTTATAAACTCAAACCTTCATATTTTTCAACTAAACTTGCAAGCTATTGATTATACTCACTAAATTTCTTCAAATTTATCAATTATTTAACAAAATATTCACTTTCAAAAATTTATTATTAGAGTATAAATCATAATGAAAATTGAAACTGCGTATATTTCGAATATCCCATATAGTTAACAGAGTAATTTTGAATTTTGAATATCCCATATAGTCAACCGAGTAATTTAACATACGTCAACGACAATGTTGTAATTTTTTAAAGATTAATAAATCAAAATTTTTGTATCTTTTTTATAATTTAACTATAAAGTAAGATCACACTACAATATTCATCCTGTCGCAGAGGTAATTAAATGTTTGTGGTGGAGATGCTTACACCGAATTCGGCCCTAATATCCCGGGGATCCAATTACGTGGCATGCCACATGTCTCTGCCATGTCACCATCCTTTCAATAAGATGGCAATCCCGTAAATTCTAAAATTCAACGTCCATTAATTGAGTTTCTTAATATTTCATGTCAAAATTGAAGCTCCCTCACCAACTTCCCATCTCCCTCCTTTTGTTACCTGTGCTGTGAGTTTCAGTTTGTTGTGAAGTCTCCAACGAAGGACATGGAGGAATCTCTGCTGGGAGGAGAAGGTAGCAGTAGCTCCAGCTCTCGACGTCAGATTCCGCATGTCAGGTTTAGGCGCCGCTCCGATGCCATCGCTTATGGCTCGGCGTACCAAAGAGCAGCTGCTCTTGTGGATCTGGTTAGACTCTTTTGCCGCATTTGATTCTCGCGCGCGTTTTTTTTTTCTTCTTTCATTGGTGATGGAAATGTTTTCTGGTCTTTTATCACTTCACTGAACATTGTGATCCTTGTTTCTCTACTTTTGCTGGAGCTGTGTCTTTCAAGTATGATGAGTTTTGAATCTTATTTGGATTGTTTTGACGGATTTTTGGTTTGCGGAATCTTTATCTTGTGCCTGGCCTTTTCAGATATGGATTTGTGACTATAGAGAAATGACCTTGGTATTGGAGTGGTTTAGCGGTGGAATGTCTTGGAACTGGTCGTTGTTTTGCACAGAAGATTATTTTTCCTGTTGTTGACTCGAGTTGCATAGAAGATTATTTTTACTGTACTTCCAGCTTAATATATTGTTTTTAGATTCAACATTCATCGATAATCTATCTCCCTCTGAGCTCTAATCCTATTTCCAATTCTCATCATTTTCTCTCTGAGAATAGATGGTTTTACTTTTCTAGATTTTCAAAACTGAGCATAATTTCTGTTTGCCGTCTCTATGTTTCATTAGTGTAGCTGAAGGTATATGCTACTTATTTTGCTTGTGGCTACATATGCTCTGCTATATTTTCTCAATAACAATAATAATAAACAAAAAGCTCTATTAATGAGAAATTTTGTGTTCTTTCAAGTTCAACTCAATAATTTTCTATATTCATTCGAGAACTGATAAGTGCTAGAATGGAAAGAGCAAAATGGAAGTTTTTCTAAAATGGCGCTCCCCTACCTTTATTTTGTTTCCTTGACTCTGCTCTTCTTTTTTTTTTGTTAGTGTCTGTGCTCATCTTTATTTTTATGCCAAGAAATGGTACAAACGTGTGATAACAGTTAACTTTTCGATGAAACAAGGATTCTCTCATAGAGTTTATGGAAAAAAGGATTTAGTTTTACTTTAAACCTTGGCCAACGGAACATTTTTGTCATTGCTGATAGAGAATGAATTTTGCAGGCTGAAGATGGCATTGGTATACCCGAGAAAATTCTTGATCAGTCAAACTTTCAGAGTGCTGCAAGACTCTACTTCATTTTCATTAGATTTGATTTTCTTTGGTCCTTAAATTTCTTTGCGCTGATAATTCTAAATTTCTTTGAGGTTTGTTCTTCCGTTTTTTTGACATTCCTTTTGTTTTCAGTCGTAAAAAGAAGTTTTTATTCATTTTTTAATTTCTTAACATCTACAGAAACCTTTGTGGTGCTCCTCCAAATACGAGACACATTCTTGTAATGATAGGGAGTATTTCTTTCTTGGGCAATTGCCGTACTTAACAGCTGTTGAATCTCTTATATATGAGGTAAGAAAAAACTAAATAAATTCCGTTATTATTATCTTTTAAATTTTTTTTATTTATACTTCAGTCAAGTTGGAGTTGCTCATGTTATGGCTTTTCCAGGATAGATTATGTGATAGAATAGTGTTACTGCGTTCTCACGGCAGTTTCAATGCATACTCGTCCTAGTACTTGTTACTATAAATTATATATACGAATGCTACTGTACATAAGCACGGAAGCAAAACTGAGTTATAATATTGGAGGAGGATGAGATGCTTTATATACTCAAATATAATTTGCAGGAGAATGCTACTTGTAGATGCTGTATACTCCACTGTTTACAGAATCTCATTCATTGAAAGTGTAATATGTATAGATAACCTTCGATACAAGTGGCTGTGTGAGATTAAATGGCACTGCATGTAGAAATCTGTCATTTAGAGATATTTAATTGTTTCATGTTTTAATTGAACGGGTTATGAAGTTTCTTGGTTTCCTCATACGATATTCACAAACAATTCAGTGGGAAAGCTATTTCACCAATGATGGATGTTAATTTTCCAGATTATCTATATTTCTAAGTATCATCATGCATCCAGAAACTAATCTTGTGAAGTGTTCAGTCTTGTTTATTTCCCACTTTCAACTTTAGTCATTGTCTTCTTCATTGAATCTCTACTGTCTAAATGCAGGCAACGACTCTCATAATACTCACGATACACACTTTTTTCCCAATTTCATATGAAGGTGCTCAGCTTTATTGGAAAAATCCCTTGAACCAATTGAAGGTACTTGTCCAGCGTCTCTTTGTTGATAGGTATCCTAAATTAGTTTGAACTTTAAATGAACTTGAAGTAATTTGAATTATAAATGAAGTTGAAGTAATTTGAATTATGAATGATTTTGAAGGCTCGATACTTGGTAACTGGAAAACATTCACTTTTCATGTTTCGAGTAATTTGATCATAAAGACAACTTCCTTATGCCCTTAATGTCAAAAGTGCACATATAAATTATTTTCTTTCCTTATGGAAGTTATTGTTGATGATTTGAGAGGAGTAGTCCAACATTGGCTAATTAAGGGGAGATTATGAGTTTGTAAGTAAGGACACCATCTCCGTTAGAATGAAGCCTTTTGGGGAAACCAAAAGTAAAGCAATGAAAGCTTATGCTCAAAGTGGACAATATTATACTATTGTGGAGGTTCGTTGTTCCTAATATGGTATCAAAGCCATGCCCTTAACTTAATCATGTCAATAGAATACTCAAGTGTCGAACAAAGAAGTTGTGAGTCTCGAAGGTGTAGTCGAAGTGACTCACTACTGAGACGAGCTGTTCCAAGGGTTCCAGAGAAGGAGACCTTAGGGGAGGGTTTATGGTGCATTTGTTCGAGTGGAGGATTGTTGAGGATTATTGGGAAGAGTTGTCCCACCTTGGCGAATTAAGGGGAAGGTCATGGGTTTATAAGTAAGGAACACCATCTCTATTGGAATGAAGCTTTGTGGAGAAACCAAAAGTAAAGTCATGATAACTTATGTTCAAAGTGGATAATATCATACCATTGTGGAGGTTCGTTGTTTCTAACCGTTATCCATACAAGAGATTAGCAATAATTAGATGGATGTCTTCTAGGAAACGAAAAAAGTTTGTGAAGTGACTAAAAAGCTTCAGCAGAAATGCAAGATTTATTGCTTCCACTGAATTATTTTTGATACGTTGAACTTGAACATACAACCAGAGCCTACCGAAATGATGAAATGTTGGGTTATCATATTTTATTATCTTATGAATTATACATTTTGTTTATATCGCACTTCATCTTAAGATTATAATCATTGCTATATATTTTTCTTGTACCCTTGGTTAAAGGTAGTTTTATGAATTTTCTAGAATAGGCAAGTCAACGTTCTAATAATTGGAATCGCTTCCTTATGAATTGTCAATACCCTATCAGGTTTTGGTGGCTATGGTGTAGTAGTTTTTATGTAATTGATTCTATATCTTCCCCATTTTCCAGGTCGTTTGCACAATTATTTTGGTTGCCGATTTTGTCATTTATACCCTATATTTGTCGCCAGTGGCCTTTGATTCTCTTCCATTCAGAGTTGCACCATATATAAGGGTTGTCTTTTTCATCATGAATATCAGGTATATCTTTTTCTTGACAAGATTCTTATTTTGCTTGTCATACGTGAATCACACCTTATGTACTTAAAGATATTTGTAGCATCTAATTCAAAGAAGCTTGTTTCATCTACCCTTGTATCAGCAAGTAATTTAATTCCAAGAAACGAGTTTGCATATACTACTCTTGGCAAATGATTGTTTCGAGATGGCCATTTTAGTGGGTTAACATGGACTAGTTAGCTCATATTAATTGCCAGGTAATTATCCAAGATACAAACAAGCATTTAACATGTCGGATGTGTTGAGGAGATTTAAGACAAGGAAGCTTCATACATTTCATTTAAAGATAAAATTTCTGTGTAATATTAATTTTTGCCGTTGTTGGGTCTCTTGATATTTGAAATGACCATCAATAGTACTCTCTCCTTCTAGTGATTGAAGAAAGTCGGCTTGAGATAATGTATTAGAGGGAAAAGGTTAAGTTTTGATGGGGCCCTAACATTTAATCTTCATTAATTGCTCTGATGTAAACTCAAATGTTCAGATTTTGATTTACCTCTTCCCTTGATATCTGATACGTGTTCCTTATTGGTGGGAGTCGATCTATTTATGATTTAACTGTTTACTTTAAAAAAAACACAACAAATTTAATCATTTCATTTGGTCCTTAGGCATCTCCGGGAGAGCATCATCATCCTGGCTGGAATGCTTGGCACATACTTGAATGTCTTGGTTCGTATATATAATTTTGGCATAATAAATACTCTGTTTAGGCAGAATTTACAGTATACCTATATGACATCTAATATTTTCCTTTGCTCGAAAAGTTGAAGAACTGAGCCTAACATTATATTATGGCAATTATTATACCAATTCTTACTACGTTATTTCCATTTTCTTGCAGGCTCTAGGGCTTCTGTTTCTTCTGTTTTCCAGCTGGTTGGCATATGTTATATTTGAGGATACACAGCAGGGAAAAATAGTATTTACTTCTTTTGGAGCCACATTATATCAAATGTTTATTTTGTTCACTACATCCAATAGTCCAGATGTTTGGATACCTGCCTACAAGTAAGTGGGTAATTTAGAACGATTAAGACACTGTTAGTGGATTTTTATTGATATATTTTTCTATTAGTTAGACTTGTATTCGTTTTCTTCTTCATTCCTTTTGAAGTGAATTGATAACCCTTTGAAGTTTGTAAATTTTGGAAATGGTTGTTAACTTGTCATTCTGCTATACAATCCAAGATAAAAGTTTAGGAAACTATGTTGCCTGTGGTAGCAAGAAGCACTGTATAAGAGCTATGTGCAAGGATATCCCAGTTTTCTGATCAGAGGGAAAATTATTCCCCCTTCTCAATCACTATCACATTCCTGAATTTTGTACTGGTTGGTGGCCGTTTAATGATGGTGTAGCATACATTCATACATTTTGTGATATTCAAAATAGTAGCAAATCATTTGAACTTTCAATTTGAACGCTAACATTGCACAGTGCCACTAGTTTACTATATTAGTTCTAGAGATAGAATTTTACTTGATTTTGATAGAATCCATGTCCTTGAGATGTTAATGGTATTTTAAGGTTACATTAATTAATGAATTATGAGTGGTATGAAGTATCATTGTTATTAATTTCCATCAAATGTAAAAGAGTTATATTAGAATTTTTTTGATGCATTATTGAAGTTATTAACTGAAGAATGCAAGTTCAAAGACGTTTCTCCAACATTCTAAAGTAAGCATTACATTGACTTGTCTTTTACAGGGCATCTCGTTGGTATTGTCTCTTTTTTGTTCTTTACGTGCTGTTGGGAGTTTACTTCGTTACAAACTTGATTCTTGCTGTTGTATACGATAGCTTTAAAAGTCAGGTAAATACTATTTTACCATGCTCTGCCAGTGCAAATAGTTATCGAAGGCTTCAATTGGCTTTAGTACTCAATTTTGTCTGCCCGTTTCTTGCTTCATCCACAGATCCTTTTCCCGTCTCCAGATACTTACTTCATTCGTAGTTCATCAACGAAAGTTGATTTACTTACTTTATTATTTTTTTAATATGGATCCAAAAGCTCACGTTTTTTCTATTTTTTATTGTTTATTAATTTTTTAGCTTGCAAAACAAATTTCCGAGATGGACCGCTTGAGGAAAAGTATATTGGCCAAAGCTTTTGGTCTTATGGATACTAATGTAAGAATCGTGGCCACTTACCATCTAGCTTACATCTTCAAAGTTTTAAATGGGTGGCTCATAGATCCTATTTAATTTTGATGAAAGAATCTTGTCATACTTTTACGTTGGGGGCAAGTATCTGTCTTGTTCTTGTTCAGTTTTTATTTCCTGGTTTCTTCTTGTTTGTGTACTAGAAATTTCTCTTGGTAAATTTTCTATTAAACATAAAAAAACATTAAGATAGGGGAGGACACTGTTTTTAATTATCTGAATTAAGATAGGTCGGGCTTGTAACTATATAGAAATGACTGAAAAATGATGGTATTAGTTTTGAGCATTTGAGCATTGCTATTATTATTGATAGTTGTATAGAAACTAATAGTGTTTCTTATGCTTTTTCATTGGGTATCAACGTGTAAAAGCCAGGGTGAAAACATTCAGCAGATAATTTTATGGAAGGTAGAGCTATATGGAGAGTTTTTCGTTGTTGGAAGAAAATAATAAGATGTCCCTTTTGGGATATGCATATGGGTATCATCTAAGCTTTAATGAAGGACATGACTTAGTTAGAGTTATGTTTTTAAGAAGAGGCCTACTTAATTCATTTTTTTAGTTTAGCTGAAAAGATTGTAATCATTTGAGAAAATATTTAGTTCATAATAATGTTAATTTATGTAGTGGACTTGTATCATGACGTCAAACTTGGTTAGATAGTGGTTATCCCAAAAAAAAAAAAAAAAAAAAAAAAAAAAAAAAAAAAAAAAAGTTAGGTAGTGTCAATTTTGATTTAGAGAATGGAGGACTTGATTAAAATCCCATTTGATGCCGTGCTGCTATTTGTTTTTGGTTTACCCTTCATACCTGCTGGTTTATTAAAATTCTTGTATGTGATCATTCAATGTTGCATTGTCGTGGATAAAGGTTCTGCTGAGTGTCCCCATTTTACCTTGAGTTGTTGGTTCTGTGCCTTTTCTATTTTATTTGTTGACTAGAATAACGAGGTAAATATGGTCCACGTTACCATCCAACATCTTGTTTTCTTCAAAAGTTCATGGTGAAGATACTGCATGTTGATTACCTCCTCATGTCTTTACAGAACGTTGGGTTTATCAATAAAGAGCAGTGCCTTGCACTTTTAGAAGAACTTAACAGATACAGGTTTTTGTACCTTCTCTACCTCTCTATCGTCTGCCAGTTTTGGAAGTTCATTTGTTACAGCTAAGTCAGAAATACTTGCAAAAGTGCTTGATGAAAAACTAATAATCCTTCATAGTGGCATCCTGTGTATCTATCAAGTTTTTATAATTCTTTCTGTTGGTTATTATTTATTTATTTTTTAATTTACGATCAAACACCTGCTGAAATTTGTATTTTTGCTTCTTATGATCATATTTCATGATCATATCTGCTAAGAATTGGTGGGTAACATCTTATTTTCGCTGATTGCATGTGGAAGTAGGCAGTGAATACAAAGGCATAGTACAGAGTTTTATCTTTCAGACTAAGGCTACAATTTCAATTTTGTAGTTTGCCTGGTATAGAAGAAATCTTAGTTTTAGCTTTTGCCCGTTGGCTAGTCTTACATTTTCAAGATTGTAACATTTATGCTCAGGTCTTTGCCGAAAGTATCAAGGGATGATTATGAGTTAATATTTGATGAGCTGGATGACAGTCGTGATTTTAAGGTACATTAGTTCCTCAAAATTGTTAAACTAAATAATTTTTTTCGATTCTTGTTCTCGAAATAACTTATATTCATCCTTACAAGTTACAACCTAGCTAGTATTGGATGAGGGTGGTAGTGATAAGTTAAGGTACATTAGTTACTTGAATTTGTGAAAGTGTGTCGGTACGGGACCTTGAATGCAAGATTATTTGTTTATTATTTAAAAAAAAGAAAAACAAAAACAAAAACTTCTATTGATATGGTAAAAAGTTGCATACAAAAACCTATTCTCTGAAGGAGCTTACGAAAAGACTCCCATATTAAGGTTAAATACAAAGGAAGAACAATTTAAAAAAAAAAAAAAGAGGAACACCATTGAAACAATAAATTTTACTTATAGGAAACCTATGCCCTGAAAGAAGCTTATGAAAAGTCTCCCCAGTTATGGTTAATTACTGAGGCTTGATTGCATATTCAATTTGTGATTATAATAAACATACTGATGGATTATATCTTCAGTCATGCATAGACGAACATACTAGGTTTTTCTTCTTTTTGGGGATGGGTTCTCTCTACCCCTGGCCCTTAAGCTGTTTTTCTTGTTGACATGAATACACACACACACACACATAAGCAATTAAAAATAATTTTCTTTATCTTGATTTTATTTGGATTCCTTCCTCATATGTAGATTAATATGAATGAGTTCGCTGATCTTTGCAATGCTATAGCCTTGAAGTTCCAGAAGGAGGACATTGTAAGTCCTTATAGTTTTATCCATGAATTTTAGAAACTACTGAGGAGTGACAGAATGAATAATGGCTTAATTTGCTCATCGGAATTACTATGATTGCAGCCTTCATGGTTTGAAGGGTATCCTTCGATCTACCATTCAGTTTTCTCAAAAAAGTTGAAAGCATTTGTGCGGAGCCCCACATTTGGATATGCTGTATCTTTTATCCTCATACTGAACCTGGTTGCTGTTATTATTGAAACAACTGTAAGACTTGCTTAAATAATAATTTTATTTATGTAATTAATTTCGTCATGTTATCATGAATGGAAATTTAATCAACTTTGTCACATTATCATGGATGGAAATCTTTTCGATCTTTCAAACATAGAATTTATCATCTCTTGTGATTTATGTTGCTATCATATGGAGGATTCGATTAATTGATTTTGTCTAAATTATATAAAGTACTTTCACCTTTATTTTCCTTTGTTTGCACAATTAAGTTTTGGATTCTGATACAAGTATATTAAGCGATGATCTTAGTTGATATTTATGTGTTTGTTGAAGAAATATCGAAATAATTGGTAGCAGCTCCATTCAATTTAATTAAAGTTTTTTTAATGCAGCTTATAAGGCATTTAACTTCTGGTATTCGTGTTTCAGCTTGATATAGCAAACAATGCAGGTCAGAAAGCATGGCAAGAACTCGAGTTTGTATTTGGTAAGGTCTTGATAAGGAAATATTTTATTTTCTTCAAATAACTATGTAGTAGTTTCCAACTTCTTACAATTTTCTTTTTATTAAGTATTCCTGGTTGAAATTTCAATAATGGTTATTTTGCTTTGAAGAACCTGTATCATTTTTGGGTAGGAAAAAACAATGCAACATAGCATCTAAGAGATTGAACTCCAATAGAACTTGAGCGAAGATTTTTTTTATTATTCAAAAGCATTATACGAGAAACTATCCAATAGGATGCAAATCCCCTAAGTAAGAATAAATTACTCGCGAAACAACCAACTAACGAAGTAATTCAACAACAATGAACAATTATGTGAAAGCAATTATGTGATTGATTGTTACCATGGTTATCTTTTTCTTATTTTACACAAAATATCTTTTTTTTTTCCCAACAGGTTGGATATATGTAGTTGAAATGGCTCTAAAAATCTACTCGTTTGGATTTTTGAACTATTGGAGAGATGGCCAAAATCAGTTTGATTTCCTTGTCACGTGGATTATAGGTAAATAGTATGTGTGTGTGTGAGAGAGAGGGGGGGAGGGGGGTCAATTTTTTATTTTTCATTGTGTTAATATTTTCTTTATCAATCTTTTTAGTATCACTTTTACTTTGACAGTGATTGGAGAAACTATGACTTTCGTTGCACCCAGTGGACTAACTTTTCTTTCAAATGGAGAATGGTAAGGGTAATTCTGTCCATCCTGTGTAAACCAAAATGTTCTCTATTCTTTCATAAAGATATTCTCTTGCTGTCTAATTCCCTTACGGAATGAGTGAAAAAATTGATGGCTTGGTGCCTAAAACTTCTATGTTTTGATTTAACATTTCAAAAGTTAAATGATAACGGTAGAGATGGGTGAGATACTGTACATGATGCATTTCTGTTCAACTTCTTCCTTAGATCCTTTGAATCCACAAGAAGTTAAAATGACCATAAAGCATTAAGAAAAAGAAAAGAAAAGAAAAAAAGCCTTCAGGAGAAAAAGTAATTACCCGGATCCATTTACATATTTAATTATCACAGATTCACAAAATTAAAGTACTGTGATAAAGTAGTATAACCAAAATGTTTTTAAGGTAATAAGTTCGAACTATGGCTAATCTTGATCGCCTACCTAGGATATTTTATATTATGCATTTTTTTTTTATGGCAGAAATTGTAGGGTCAAATTATTGTTTCATAGGATTAGCTTAGGTGCGCACAAGCTATCACAAATATCCACAAATAGTTAAATAAATAGATCATAATAAAAAACTATTTAGTTTTTATCAAAGAAAATGGTTAAATCAGAACATGCTGTATATTTTGGTATTATCAATTATTGACATTGCTTGCATCATAGTTTAGGCCCACTCTTTCTTTCTATGTTTTTTATTTGTCTGAGGGGAGAGTGGTGGAATCTGTTTATTGAAGTCTACTTGTTTTGAGATTAACGAAGCATGTATCAATTAACTGGAGAAATGTACACGTGTAGCAATCAACACCTGTCTTTCTCACATGAAATAAGATTCTCTTTCATTGTATTGGTAACATAGACCCTGCATAGGCTGAATGTTCATCCAAATGGCTGTAAACTAATATAGGGGCATGTTGTTAGCAAAGGGTTTCACATGTCTATCCTTTCTCACTATTTAACTTTAGTCTTGTTCATACCGGATATGGACATTATAGAAGTGAAACCATGGAATTCTATACTACATTGACTCAGCTTTATTAAAATCAAGCATAATACCTTCTCTTCTAATGTATAGCATGTTGTTCTTTTTTAATCTTGCTAAGATAAACAATTTTGTTTTTCTCTTCTTTGCCTACAGGATTCGCTACCTTCTGATAGCAAGAATGTTACGCTTGATAAGGCTCCTAATGCATGTCCGGCAATATCGAGCTTTTCTTGCTACCTTTTTAACTCTCATCCCTAGTTTGATGCCATATCTAGGAACCATTTTCTGTGTCCTCTGTCTTTATTGCACACTTGGTGTGCAGGTAAATACGTTGATCGATATGAACTATTTATGAAAATAGAAGAATGAAATGAATTTTATAAGATACACTTTTATTAGCTTTTCCTGTCATAAATTGCATCTTGTTGCAACATATAAACTGACTAATTTAGGTCCTTAGATGATCATAAACTTTGATCATCTAAACTTTAATCCTAAGTTTTGTATCATGTCTCCAGATTTGTATTATTATATATTTTACTCTTTAGTAATTGTATCTTTTTATGTCGGTCGGTCATTCAAATTCTTTAGATTTTGAACTATTTTCGGTGCATGTTTCTAGTCATCGTAATATAATGTAGTCAAATATCTTTACTTTTTGCTGTCTTCACTAATGCCCTTGCTTTTGTCTCAATCGTTTTAAAGGTCTTTGGAGGACTTGTTAATGCTGGAAATGCCACTTTGTCTAAGACTGATCTGGATGAGGATGAGTATCCTTAGATGTTTTACTTCTTTTTCTNCTTCTTCTTCTTCTTTTTTTTTTTTTTTTTTTTTTTTTTTTTTTTTTTTTTTTTTTTTTGGCTAGATACTTCTAAATACTTTGATAGTGGATTCTGAATTTTTATAGGCTTCTAAATAGGGATTCATTGTGGCTGCAGGAGCTTTCTTTGAAAATTTGTTGAAACCAGTTTAACTTTTTTCTGTATTGTCCTTGTGAAGGACGTTTTCTGTTTAGATTTTCCTTGACTGAGTCAGCTACCTACTTTTCAATTTTAACGACTATCCTAATGGCATGGTGACACTGTTCAATTTGCTAGTTATGGGAAACTGGCAAGCCTGGATGCAGGTACCTTCTTTTATTATCAGTTTCCTCGTTTTTTTTTTTTTTTTGGCTTCTGGCTCCTGTAAACCTAAAGCGGTATATCTGTTATATTCTCCTTTGGGGGTATGGTTATATGCATCTAAAAGTGAAAATTGAAATCTTTAGATTATATGTTATATGCAAATAGTTAGAATGAATTTTATTTGTAATTTCTTCAAACATTAATACCTTGATATGTCCATTGAATGTTGACGGTTTTGGTATTTGGTTCAGTATGAAGGAAAACAAAAACTAAAAGAAATTAAGCTTAATCTTGGAACAAAAATTCTGAAGATAGAAGGGTACTGCAATGTCATACTAATTTTTCCCTTCACGAAAATCAGATGTTTCAAAATTCCGTTTATTCTAGTTGTCATTGTCCTATGCTAATAAGATTATCCCTTGACATACGAAGTAGTATTTATTTATATGTACTCTAGCCTCATAAGTTGGATTTCACAGATGCCTCATCCTTGTGTTTCAAGTAATTATTTTCATTTTCCACCATTTCTGGAATTTGTCACTGAATTTAATATTTATATTCTCAGAGCTACAAGGAATTAACAGGAAGCATTTGGACCCTCGTTTATTTTATCAGTTTCTACCTAATAACCGTTTTGCTGCTCTTAAATTTGGTAAGTTTGCTTTTGTGCTTTTTTGCAATGCCCCTACCTCATCGTTTACATCTTTACTATGATGATAGCTGCAAATAAATGGGCTTCCTTGCTGAGAAATGCTGCATAATGAATAAAACGGAATCTGATTACACCAGGAATTTTTTTTCCTTTACGTGCTAGACTATTTTCTTAATTGACACAATACCTTCATAAATAACGAGGAGATTGATACTGTTGAAAAGAAATGTTAATATTGGACTTCAAATAAATGGAGGGCTCATGTTCTTTACTTCATCTTTTCTTCTCTTTTTTTCCACTAACGAGAAAATCCAAAATAACCTTCTTTAATTGGTAATTACCAACGGCTTATTGCACTCACCGCTACAAGGTGATTGACATGATTGTCAGTTATTAGTTAAGTTTCCAGTGTTCTCGTCAAAGTTATGATGAATGCATGCTTGTAAGCATATCATATTTGATATAATGGCATTACAAATTAAAAAACTTAAAATATTGTGATATGATTCAGGTTGTAGCCTTTGTCTTGGAGGCATTCTTTGCTGAATTGGATATTGAATCTTCAGAAAATGGCGAAGAACAGGATCAGGTCAGTATCTTCTGATCCTTGAGAAGGATGGGTATTGTGAACTACTGGACTTCAATTGATAGTAGAAATGGAGACCTCATGCAAATTAATGATTTATATTAACTCTTACTATAACTGAAAAAAAAAAGTATGTGATTGAAACACATATACTAAGACTAAATATTTGGATTTAGAGATGTACGTTTTTCTTCTGATTGATATTGCTGAAGTTTTATTCTAGCAACTGGACATTAGTTTTGGGGAGAAAAATTGTTGCCTCTTCTTTTGAATGCTTGAGTGCATATATTTAGTTATTGCGATTATTTATCCACAAAATCTCAAACCTTTGCAATAAAATTCTAATCTACGAATCTACATTAGCTGTTGAAGTATTATCTTTTTGATATACATAATCAACACCTTGAAATTTTTAAATTTTGTTTCTGCTTACTCACAAGATATTTAATCCATCAGATTCTAAAAAAATTAGAGACGATAAATTAGACACACAATGTTAAAATCTTATACTTTTATACATTTTTTTTTTCTTTTCTTAATTGCCTCCTCTGCTCCACTCCTAGTTTTTCAGATTAACGTTGCTGGTTCTGCCATTTTATTGTGTTTATACCGGTACTTTTAGGTTACAATGACAATGAAAAAAAAGAAGGATAAAGGAACAATCATTAAACTTGCCTATTTATCCAACATTTGTGCTTTTTTCACTGTGGGATAACATGAAGGTCCAACTAACTGTACTTATGAATCTAAATTCTGTGGTTCAGGACGGAGATAGTAGAAAGGATCGTCGACGTTTTGTTGGGTACGACAATAAGTAGTTTTAATGTGCATCCATCCTCTCCATTTGACTTGAAAATGTTGACGTGACAAATTTTTATGGGTTTTTTCCAGCACTAAAACTCGGAGTCGCAAAGTTGACATTCTTCTCCATCATATGTTGAGTGCAGAATTGGATAAGGATTCCGATTAGTGCTGTTTCTTTTCCAGGTTAGCAGCCAACCCTTGTTCCCAAATAATTGATTAGTTGAACGCTCTCTGCATTGTTGCTGCATCATCCCACTTGTCTTTTGATATTTTGATTACATTTTCCACACATTAAGAGAGTTAAGAATTTAGACACATTCGCCAGAATTCATTTCTCTCATACTTATTTTTATCTTTCAATCCGAGTGCTTCGTTTGGTTCATCTATCTGCTAGGCGCCCATCGATTTGATAATCTGGTAACGTTGATGTTACCTAATAACGTGGAAAAGGAGAATAGATACAAAATATCACGGTACTCAAAGAACCAATAGCACCAAAGACGCAAACTTACTCCATGAGAAAATAGCTCTTATTTAATTGTAAATGTTCCCTCCGTGACAAGCACATGCAGACACTCACCATATATTTGTGTGCCTGTGTAAACAATCTGCAGATGAGGAATTTTTCGTCAAATGAAGCTCCCAGTTTCAGTTCGTCCGTTCCCCGTGATGCGAGAATTCCAAATGAACCAAAAAAACGTGTATAAATGATCCCTACACATCATACTTCCTGTAATCCTGATGTCAGTGGATAGTTCTGAAGGGGGTAACCTTAAAGATGGGGAGTCTGCATGAACATTAATGTAGTTTGTTATCTGAACTGCGTAGACAGCAGGTGACTTTCCAAAGTTTTATTTACTTGATCTCCATTAGGAGAGAGAGAGAGCTTAGCTATACAGTCTGCTAGTTTGATTTCAGTTGGATTACTGTACTCTTGATTTTTAAACTATGGAATCCTCTCGCCTCATCGTTTACCACTCCATTCACAAAGTCCGAGATGATTGCTGGTAATAAAATAATGCGACGTGTGAGGAATCAAGCATCTCCACTTTTGTAATGGGCCATTTTTTTTTTAAATTCATACGCACGTTGGATTATTGTTGTTTATTTTATACATGATTTTGTAATTGAAAATTTTACAGGCGTCTCCAATAGAGTGCTAGGGTCTTATCGACGAATAACTTTTCTAGTGGAGATTTTTCCATATAAAATTTTTATGCGTGATGAGTAAATTTTTTTAATATATTTATCTGTGGAGTCAATTATGGTTGTTTATTAAAACACTCCTCCCTCGACTCTGAAAGAAGGCATCTATACATTCAGCTTGCTTCCTTATTTATATTCTCCCTGTCTAGCAAAGGTAAGCAGAAAGCCAAAAACCAGGTGGTCACATAGAGACGAAGAAATGAGGAGCATGAAAGGAGAGGTGTCATTGAACCTGCCCGCCGAGAAAGCATGGCAGATGTACAGAGACAACGAGGTTATCAGTAAAATCAATCCTGAGCTGCTTTCTCGAGCTGAATATGTTCAAGGAGATGGTGGCCCTGGAACTCTCAGGCTCTTCAAGCTTGGCCCTGGTACCTCTCTCTCTCTCTCTCTCTAGAAATTCTTGTTTAATTTTTTGTTTCCATATACAAATCCATGAAAACCATAGCTGAATTCTTAGTCTTCAATTCTAGACACTGCTTGTTGGGTGGATTTTGAACACCGTCAAGATATCTAACATCTTTGTTTACAAGGGAAAAAAAGTGATAGCGTAGTGTAATAAATGAGTTATTATTGATTATGATGAGACGTGTAGCCTTGAGAAGCTACGTGGGGGAGTCGGTGGAGAAGATAGAGAAGGTGGAGACAGGTCGATCAGTGAGCTACGACGTGGTGGGAGGAGAGCTAATGAAGATGTATAATCCGTACAAAGTGACCTTCACATTCACTCCAGTGGAAGGAAAAGAGACGGAAATGTGCACCGCTCAGTGGCAAGCTGAATACGAGCCACTGTCTCCCACCATCCCTCCACCGGACAAGGCTAGGGATGCTGCCTTGCGGTTCCTCCAGTGCTTTGACAAGTTTGACCTCAGCTTCTAGAGCCCTCAACACAATCCTTCCTCTATATTTCAGTGTATGGAATAAGTTTGGAAAGGGTAGAGCAGTCCATGCTCTCTCTCTCTCTCTCTCTCTCTCTCTGTCTTGTGAAAATCTAGTTGGGTCATGTCAATCTTGTGTGAGAAACTTCTCTAGTTCTGGATTAGGTGCCATCGCTGAATTTATGTATGTGATGTTAACGAAGTGCAAAGCCCAACGGGGATGTCAAGAACAATATCGCAGTACTATCTGGTTGGGTGACTTTTAGGCACGAATCTAGTTTTTCTTTTGCTTCCTTATTTGAAAGAAAAATAAATCATATTAAAGTAGTGAAAGAGTATTGTTGTTTCAATATGCGACAGAGAAATAACATATTGATATTTGATATACGGAAAAGTGGAAAGGAAAAGTTGCTACGCCATGTCTACAAAAAACAGTATGAAAATGGGTCAACTAAGCGCTTTTAAGCAACTTTCAGAATATGAAGTAAATTGGTATTTGGTAAATTTTATATTTAAATCTGAAAAGGGCAGTTACCATGTTTAGTAAATGAATCTTGATTAAAGATTATATATTATAATTTAATAATTGCTTAAATTTGTATATGTTTTGAACTTTATTCTAATTTTGTTTGTAAAATCTAATGTAATTTTCTTTTTAAAATCCGTTTTTTGATTAATTTATAACCACTTTTAATACAATCATAATAAAAAATTCAAACGTAGCCAAATGGTATATATACATAATTGCACTAATTTCATACTTGGCTGATTAGTTGGGATTAGGACGTTGTTAATCTAATTTAGTTGTTTACTTAAGCTATGGCTTTCAAGCAATTCAACTTGATTAACATAATTGAGGTTTTATATGCATCACTCATTATAATTATTCGGAGTATTATTCATTAATGACATCAAGAAATATACTTCTTTTACATTGATGTCCATTTGCCTGACATCATTAGCAAACCATGTTTTAAATAACCCAACTTGAGGAGCCTTCTTAATAATGATATTAAGTGGTGATTAAGTGATTAAGATCATCTGGTTGACATTTCTTGGTTGACATTTCTTGATGCAATAGTAACGCAAAATAAAATTTAGTTTCAAGATGCACTAATGTTGGGAAGTAAAAATCGCTTTTCACACTCGAAGCTATATTGTTTGAACGAAACTCTATATGTGCTTGTGTTTGATCTTATCACTAATCAATTGTGTCTCGCGGGTGGGTTTGTCCCAATGGTCGCTTCCAGATTCCTTCACGTGCTTCTTCAATCAACACAACTGATCCAAGAACAACCCTAAAAGTTGATGCTTACTTTTGGCAATTTTGGACACTAACCCTCAGTTCTACTGTAATATCAATCATAATAGACATAAACGAACTTGTGATAAGTGGTTTCTATTTGGTCACATATATTGGAAATTCAAAGTCCATTAACAAAAGTTCGTATTAAAAAAAAAAAAAAAGACAATATCAAACGAAGCATAATTCAGTTCTATTTTTTAACGATATTATTTTTACAACAGTAAAAAAAGGAATTTCGACCTAATTTTTTTTGTATGGTCAAAAGTTGCATATTAATAAAAGAAAATCTTAAAAGACCAAAAAGAAAATTTTTAAAAGAAAAAAAAATAACAATGGAGTTTCTTATACAAAGGACATCGCGTGTAACGTGACTTCCCAAATACGTGAATCAATCAATAGGTTGGTAAAAGCGAAGGCATTATATATTCTGGCGCCATAACCTTCGCGCCAAAGGCAACTCTTCCCGCCAATTCCCTCTCTACATAAACCCTAAAACATCTCTACAATTTTCATCGAATCCTAATTCCACTTTCTCTACAAATCTTCACCATGGTGGTTCCTCTCGGCCCCGGCAAGTTCTACGGCAGCAGCCTCCCTCGTCCACGCTATTACACCGATATCAAGCTCAACAACGAGCGTATTGATCCACCTACGCCGGTCCTCGATCCGCTTCTCTCATGGGCAAACGAGGCTCATTGGTCTATGGGTGGCCTCAGCTTTAATCGCCTGAGGCTTCAAGGTCGAATCGAAGGTAATGTCCACAAACTTCGAGCCGAGCGCGAGAGGGTTGTTAAGCTGGACTCTGCGCCAAGGAGATCTAACCCTGACGACGAAGCTGCGGGCGATCGCCAATTCAAGAAGTCGAAATCTGTATCTCCACCGCCGGCGCCGATGGCAGCAAAGAGACGGCGATTTATGGCTCTGTTTGACGACGACGATGATGATGTTGGCGTGTACAAGGAAGAGACTGGGGTTGTGAAGAGGAGGTTGGTGAAGAAGCTGGGAGATGATTTTGATCGAGTGGCTGCAGAGAGTAAGGGAGATCAATTAAAGAGGGATAGAAGCTCGGAAATCAATGGGGTTTGTGAATCTGTAATGAAGATCGTTGGAGAGATTAACGATGAAAATACAAGGGGGGAAAAGGTCAACACTGAAAGAAAACGGAAGAGTGGTGGAAAAGTGGAGACTGGTTCCGTTTCTGGGACAAGAACATCTCCCAGATTGGCTAAATTGATTTGATATATGGATATAGTATAGGGTGTTAGCTTCTGTTTTTTTCTTCTCTTAATTCTTTCTTGGTTTCTGGTATTCATAACTGGGCCAAGTTCTATTATGTTGCTGTTGTCTTTGTTTGGCTGTGGAAATGTGATAATGGAATGTGGTTCTGCAATTTAAAGGTCCATATGATTGGTGAATAACACAATTGATATCTTATCTTTTGGATGCAATTATCTGAAGATTGCCTCCTGAGTTCAAGGGGGGAAACCATCAATCTAACCCCTTTGATCTTATCTCAGGGGAAAAAACTCGTTTTCCCGGGGCAAGCATGGTGAAAGGAGCTGAAATTGAAACTAAACTTACTGCGGATAAGGTGTTTGAAAGAATTCTGCAATGATATATTAAGCTGTTATGTCTTCAAGGCTCGTTCTACTTTTTCTAAGATCTCTTAGTGCCCCTCTGCAAGCTTTTTTCATTGCAAAAGGATGGCAGCCTTTTGCTCTTGGCTGTTTTGCTCCAACTTGATGTAAGCCTTCTGGCCTTCATTTCATTACAAAGACAAACAGTTTCCTGATCTCTCTGAACTGTTCAATCATTTTTCACCATGTTCTTCAACTAAGGGAACATTTTTCATTTCTGGGTTTTCATTTAATTGAATTGTTTGTTGTGTTGCCACAGGCCATGGGGACTTCCCTTTTTTACAAAACGAAAGAACTTTTTGACTTCTCAGTCAGGCCAGGTATGCTCCTTGTTCGTTCATTTTCACCATATTTTTGGATCCAGTTAGTAGTTTAGTGATGAACATCAGAACAACTTGAGACCACTCTTCAAAAAAATCCAGTAAATTCCCAGTATTTCTTCCAACCATTACAAAAAAAAAAAAAAAAAAATAGAACTGTAAATCTCTTATTAAGAAGCCTTCTGGAGAAACGAGCGCAATTCCATAAAGAACAGAAGAGAAAGTAATAATTCATATAAACCTATCAACCCTTGGGATGTGTCACAAGAAGAAGAAAGCGTAAATCGCAGGCCACCCAAATGAAGAAGAAGAAGTTCCCACTTGGGATGTGTATCAAGACTGTATATATGCAAGTAAATTCCACGAAGATGACAAAACGAAGGGCATAAACCAGAACAAAAAGACATACCCCTGTTCTTTTGCTCATCACCCTAATGATCAGCGAGTACGACTGGGATGTTGCTTGTGGTGGGTTGTTTCTGGGTGTTATTCCTTATTTTCAGCCATTGCCAAAACAGCTCGATTTTCAAATCTGTTAATCTGTGATTTCAGGGCCTTCTATGGACTCTCTGCTTTTGTCTTAGCTTCCTTTGGTTGAGGATTATGTTGAGGATTATTGGGAGTGAGTCCCACCTTGGTTAATTTAGTAGAAGATCATAGGTTTATAAGTGAGGAATACCATTTATAAGTGAGGAATACTATCTCCATTGGTATGAGGCCTTTTGGGGAAGCCCTAAACAACCTCTTTCCGTGTTAAGGGCAGTGAGAGAAAATGAAAAAGCGACATTTGTGAGAGAAGGAGAAGGTAAAGGTAAAGAAGCTAAAAAACTCACGCTCTGTCCCTATTCTGTGTGTGCAACTTTCCAATGGATTGATTCAATGGGCAGATCCAAAGGATTTATGACTGGAAGCTGTTGTACACATGCCAAGATATAGATGATGGGTAAGCCAAATGATTGTCTGGAATAACAGTTTGGCTTAGTCTCTGCTTTGAACATTTGTTAATTCTTTGAGCTTCTCTCTGCTCATCTCTTATGTGTTCATGAACTTCAAGAACATTTCCTTTTTGGGTTTGCATTTAATTGACTTTTGTATGTATGAATGATGAGTTTCCAAAGATATTGTTCCTAATCTTACTCGAACAAGAATTAGTTTTATCCCCTCATAATAGATGCAAATGGCATATGGGTGCCCCTATGGCCCTACCCATGACAATGAACATGGGGACAGCTAATTAATGGATGCCTTCTTTGACAATAATCTCACGACCTCTTTTTTTGACTCGCTCATCCTTTTGGTTGAATCCATGTCAATCCCTCATTTATTCCTCTACTGTAGCTTATGAACAATTCTTTGCTTTTCCCAGTTTCGTCCTCTTCAAAATTCTCTCCCGCTTCCGATCCAAACAGTTCTTTTGATCATGTCTTCTTCTTTTTCTTCTTCACGCAGTTTCTTCTGCGCTGTATTTTCAATTCTAATCTCCATTTCCATCTCAGTCACGGCTACAGAGTTCGTCTTCAACACCAATTTCACTTCCACTAATACTTTGCTCTTCGGCAACGCCACAATTGAGTCTTCTGTTCTTATTCTCACTAGAGATACCCCTTTCTCCATCGGCCGTGCCCTTTACCCCTTTAAGATTCCCATCTTTTCCTCCAATTCTTCATTTTCCTTTGCAACTTCTTTCATCTTTTCTGTCACCCCTCAGCCAAATCTTCTCCCCGGCCATGGATTTGCCTTTCTCTTCACACCCTCTACTGGAATCAATGGCACCAGCTCGGCTCAGCATTTGGGGCTTTTCAATTTCACCAATAATGGCAGCCCCAATAACCATGTCTTCGCTGTTGAGTTCGACACTTTCCAAAATCAAGAGTTCAATGACACCAATGATAACCATGTGGGCGTGGATTTGAATTCTCTCCAGTCCACCGTTTCCGCTGCAGCAGGGTTTTGGAGTGGACCAGATGATGGAGAATTCAAGCAGCTGGAGATCAATAATGGAGAAACTTATCAGGTTTGGATTGAATGTCTAGATTCTTTGCTTAATATTACAATGGCTGAAGTGGGAGTGAAAAAACCTAGAAAGCCATTGATTTCTCTGTCTGTTAATTTTTCTGGATTGCTTTTGGATAAGATGTATGTGGGATTTACAGCAGCCACAGGGCAATTAGTTCAAAGCCATAAGATATTATCTTGGAGCTTTAGTTCCACTAACTTTTCTATTGCTGATGCTTTAGTGATAACGAATTTGCCATCTTTTGCTCCTCAAAAGCTGGGCTCCATTTTCGAGTCGATATCTTTCATATTGGGGATAACTGTGGGTGGTGCTGGACTTGTAATTCTATGTAGTGTTGTTGTTGTAATTACCAAAAGAAGGGGACGAAAGAAACCAAAGGATGATGAAATTGAAGAGTGGGAGTTAGAATATTGGCCGCATCGGTTTGCTTATGAAGATGTTTATGAAGCAACTGAGGGGTTCTCAGAAGGCAATGTGATTGGGTTTGGGCGCAACGGGAAGGTCTATAAAGGGACCTTAGGGAGATCAAAAGTTGCTGTGAAGAGAATCTGTGTTGAAGGTGAGAGTGGGATGAGGGAGTTTGTGGCTGAGATTTCAAGCCTGGGAAGATTACAGCATAGAAATCTTGTGAAGCTTATAGGATGGTGTAAGAAGGAGAAAGGAAGCTTAATCTTAATGTATGATTACATGGAAAATGGAAGTCTAGACAAGAAGCTATTCGAGTGTGATGAGAATGCAATGCTGAGTTGGGGGGAAAGGATGAAGGTTTTGAGAGATGTAGCCACTGGGCTGCTATATCTGCACCAAGGTTGGGATTACAAGGTTCTACATAGAGATATAAAGCCCAACAACGTGCTACTCGACAAGGACATGAATGCAAAGTTAGGAGACTTTGGGTTGGCTCGAATGCAACCCCATGAGAAAACGGCAGACACAACTCAAGTGATGGGAACCGTTGGGTATATGGCACCAGAGGTGGTTCGAACAGGTCGAGTATCGGCACAGGCAGACGTTTTTGGGTTCGGGGTGTTGGTTTTGGAGGTGGTTTGTGGGAGGAGAGCAATAGAAGAGGGGAAGCCATGGTTGATAGATTGGGTAATGGAGAGGAATGAGGTTGGATTTGTAGTTGATGAGAGATTGAAAGTTGGTGGGAATGAGATTGATGAAATGGAGAGAATGGTTTGTTTGGGGTTATTGTGTGCGCAGCCTGAGGCTGGTTCAAGGCCAACAATGCAACAAGTTGTGAGCATTTTGTGCGAGGGAAATGGAAACGGAAATGGTTCAAATGATGGATTGTTGAACAGATTAAGATCAACAAGAACACTGTCTGAGATTTATGGAGGCAACCATTGCCAGCAGCATCCAACGTTTGAACAAATCAAAACATCTTCCTCTTCAACATCGCTCGTTGATTCGGATATTTTAAGGATTGGCCGCTAGTAGAAGTTTGATTGTTTAGATGCAAGTTGGTTTTGTAAATTCTGTATAAATGCTGTCTTTAATTCATCTTATTATTTTACTTAATTGTTACATTTTTAAATATATATATATATATATATATAATGATACTAGAGTCGACGATTTTAATTAGGGGCTGGATATCAGAATTTTTAACAACAAAACAATGTTCCGAGTAAAAAATATGGCAAACCATTAAATATATAAATAACGTATGAAAACTAATTCAACAACGCGGGGATAGCTCAGTTGGGAGAGCGTCAGACTGAAGATCTGAAGGTCGCGTGTTCGATCCACGCTCACCGCATTAAATTATTTGTTTTTTCTTATATGCAAATGGGCCTCCTATATCAGTTAACGGGCCTTTATTGGGCTGAAAAGTAAAAACCAACTGACCCAATGGGCCTACTATATCAAGTTATTGGGCCTGTAATGGGCTGGAATAAAAAACTGGTCCATGTTGGGTAAAAGTGGGCCTACGGTTTTTTATACAAATGGGCCTACTATATCAAGTAAACGGGCCTGTATTTGCTGTGAAAAACAAAAACTGGCCCATTTTTGGATAGAAGTGGGCCTACTTTTTTATATAAAAATGGGCCTACTATATCGAGTTACCGGGCCTGTACTGGGCTATGAAAAGTACAAACTAGCCCAATGGGCCTGCTATATCACGTTAACGGGCCTGTGCTGAGCTATGAAATAAAACTGGCCCAATGGGCCTAATATATCAAATTAACGGGCCTGTATTCGGCTATGAAATGCAAAAACTGGCCCATATTGGATTGAAGTGGGCCTACTATTTTCATAGAAACGGGCCTACTATATCGAGTCAACGGGCCTGTATTGGGCCATTAAATGCAAAACCGATCCCATATTAGATAGAAGTGGGCCTACTTTTTTTTATAGAAATGGGCCTACTATATCGAGTTAACGGGCCTGTATTGGGCTACGAAAAGCAAAAACTGGCCCAATGGGTCTACTATATCAAGTTAACGGGCCTGTATTGGGATGTGAAAAGCAAAAAACTGGCCCATGTTTTTTAGAAGTGGGCCTACGGTTTTTTATGGATATGGGCCCACAATTTTGTTTTTATAGAAATGGGCCTACTATATCGAATTAAGGGCCAGTATTGGGCTACGAAAAGGAGAATCTGGCCCAATGGGCCTACAGTATCAAGTTAACGGGCCTGTATTGGGCTGCGAAAAGCAAAAGACTGGCCGATGTGGATGGAAGTGGGCCTACAATTTTGTTTTTATAGAAATTTGCCTACTATATTTAGTTAACGGGCCAGTATTGGGCTACGAAAAGCAAAACTGGCCCAATGGACCTGCTATACCAAATCAACGGGCCTGTATTGGGCTGAGAAAAGCAAAAATTGGTCGATGTTGGATAGAAGTGGGCCTTATGTTTTTTATAGAAATGGGCCTAGTATATCAAGCGAACGGGCTTCTGTTGGGCCACGAAAAACAGAAAGTGGCCAAGTGGGCCTACTAGATCAAGTTAACGGGCCTGTATTGAGCTGTGAAAAGCAAAAAACTGGCCCATGTTGGATAGAAGTGGCCTTACGTTTTTTATACAAATGGGCCTAGTATATCGAGTGAACGGCCTTTGTTGGGCTATGACGAACAAAAACTGGCCCAGTGGGCCGACTAGATCAAGTTAACGGGCCTGCATTGTGCTGTGAAAAGCAAAAATACTGGCCCATGTTGGTTAGATGTGGGCCTACTTTTTTTTATATTAATGGGCCTACTATATGGCCTGTATTGTTCTATAAAAAGCAAAAACTGGCCCATTTTTGTGTATAAGTGGGCCTACAGTTTGTTTTTGGTATGGAAATGGGCATACTTATTGAGTTTACGAGCTTATATTGGTCTATGAAAAATTAAAAAACTGGTCCGTGTTTTTTATAGAAGTGTTTCTACTGCATGGAGCTTATGGGCCTGTACCAACGTGATAATCTGGATAAGGGTGGGACGACCACCCAAATTAACTGATCGAAGGGATTTGACTTATTTGAGTTGAATGATAGCGATCGAATTAAATGCAATGAGCTCATCTCATTGAAGAAAAGGCCAAAGCTAAATTGTAGTCTTGAAATTGTAAATTAAAATTTGATATTAATTTCGAAACTTGCAAGTATATGATCAATTTAATTAAATGTTTTTAAATGAATATGAATCCTATAAAAAAAAAAAAAATACACACGAGGGTCATTAATCATAATTAACTCGTAATTAAAAAATAAATGATAATTGTGATTAGGGCTTTGAGATATGGAGATAAAATATCAAAGAAAAAAAAGCAAAAGGTTGAAAACGTGAAACGGCATTATTTTCTATTGATTTAGCCACTACTTTTATATAAAGTTATATTTGCTCCAAAGTGATTCAAGCTTATCCCATATCCCCAAATCCCACATGCTTTCACTAATTTGTAGGCCTACTCTCATTATTTTATGAGACCCACATCGAAATGGATAAGATTTTCCCCCCATTTAAATAGGAGCATGACTCATGTCTGTATCATAATTATATTAATTTGGTATTATTTTGATAATATTTTTAAAATTATTAATTATTCAAATTAATAAAAATAATTTATACTTTCCCATTTCTTTCAAAAATTTATATCAAGCTCGAATTTAGGCCACACTTGGTACTTACCAAGGTGCTTTGAGCTAGGTCTCGAACACGTGTCCGATGCTTTTCCTTCGGTCTTTTTCAATATGAATGCAAAGAGTTGTTGAAAAAGAAATGAATAGGAGATAGGTATGTAGGTTGTTATAACTAATATCTTATTATATTATATGCTAAATAATAATAATCTAATTATAGTATGAATGATTCAAATGTTAATTATTAATCAGCTTCGTATTATCAATTTTTAATTGTGTTCGGTAGCCATACAAAAAAACGTTTTCATTTGTTTAATACTATGCTATAATATTTTATTTCATAATTGAATACTTTTAATTCAAATTTAAATTTTTTTATAAAAAAAAAAATTTAAATTAAGATTTAGAGGGTAATTATAAAATTTTGGTAATTTTTTTAAAATTTTAAAATTTATTAACTTTCTATTGAAGAGTGAACAAATTAGGAAGAAATTTTAAAATCATTGACTTTTTACTTATATATATAATTATCTCTTTCCTTTTTTGGCCCAATTTTACCTGTTTGGAAGTGTATATCACATTAAATTTTATAAGGAAAACACTTCAACTTTCTTTTTTTACCCTTTTATTAACCTTATTTCTTTTACCAATTTACTGCATTCTCATCCTACAGAATTACCATTTATCTTAGGATGGCATTGTAAAATTCAGTTCTAACTTTTAGAGGAAGTCTGAGTCGAATATCATACATAATATACATCGTCCATCAATGATGGTTCATTAATGTCCATAGACTCTTTCCGCCTTCCTAACTACAAATAAGATCGAATGAAGCTCGAACCAAACTAAGAACAAAACGGATTTGATTCGCTTTCCATTCTCTCTTGAATAAAAGAATTTCTTTGAGCTTTTAACAGTCAGGAAGCAGGTCGAGTGGGTTTTCCCCTGTAATTTTGTTCCCGCCTTGAGAAAAACATACATAAGAGGTATATCCAGCGTGCGGAGGATCTATTGAAACTGTATTTGTTTTGTTTTGTTCTTTTTCTTATATTTATAATCCATTAATATTGAAATTTAATTTTGAAATTATGAATTAATTTGACACAAATTCTATGAGTCAAAATCTTATGAAAATTGGAGTTTATGGAAATTTAATTTATAGAATAATATGTCGGGGATAATTGTCTTGGCTTCCCAGCAGGTCGAAGGTTTTGATGACGGCCACGTCAGCCTATGAGAAAAGGATGAAATATTTTAAAAAATAAAAATAAAATGGATTTAGTGTTTGCGTGATTGGTTCCCTTGTGACAAGGAGACCGGTGGCAAAAAGACAAAAACAATAATGTAGTACCGGAAATGACAATATTACCCCTCAACTTTACCCATAACCTTATTATACGTTAAAAAGTACATGTTTTTTTCAGGGAAAAAAGTACATGGATGGTCAGAAACATACTAGGTCGATTTTTCATGTACTTTCAATTTGTATTTCATATCCACATTTTAAAAATATTCATTTTAGCTAATGATTTAAAAAAATATATTTTAATTTCATAATTAATTGTTTACAAATTATTTTAAAAGGTTTCTGATATGAAAATGTATTATAGCCACAAAAATTTTAAAAAGAAATAAAAATTTCCATTTTAGATGATTTTGTGATATTTTTTTTAATACCCTTGGAGAACTTATTCTTTGAAACATATTTTCTAATTAAATATTATAAGGAATTTAATATTTAAAGTTCGTTTTAATATAAATTTCTAAATTATTGTTGTCGTCATTGATGTTCGTAAAATATGTACTTTAGTCTCTAAATTAAGGATAAACATAATTATAACTGTTATTTAGATGTTGGTAGATATAGATTGAGACATTTTTTAGATTCAACTTAATTATTTAACTCGTAAATGTTTTTAACTCAAATAACATTTATTAAATAATGAATTCAATCCAACAAAACCATAATTTTGTTGTACTGGGTTAGTTTAAGTTATTGGAGTCATTTATTAATTTTTTATTATTATTAAAAATTAACCTTTAATAAAAATGGCTAAACAAAATTTCAACTTACAAATTATTTTTAAGAATAACTGAATAATAAATAATAAAAAAAAGTATGAAATTAAATAAAATTGTATAAATAATTGTATCATACAAAGTTATACCCAATTAAGGTTAATTAGGTTTAACTTAATCTAATTTTAATTGTTATTTTATTTTTCTATCTAATATTTGATTGTCAAACATCTGTCTCGTATTAGTATGCTTTGAAATCACGCTGATATTTACTTATTAGTGCACATATTGAAAGATATTATAATTAATTTATTAAAATAAACAACAATTGGGTGAATTATCCTCTGGTTGGCGTACAAATTTGTTTCCAAAAACCAATGAGTGTTCTGTTTGGACGAAGGGAAAAGAAAGGGACCCCACGCTGAGTTTGGATAAAGCTCACACATCAACGCTTACACACAAATCCACGTGTCGCCTATACTGCCAGCTGTCGTCGATAACTGGGCCAGATTGCTGAATGTTGCCACGTTTCACTTGTGATTCAGACAAATCTTTTTGAAACAGTTTCCATTTTCCAATTTTTTTATGCATTCTATTATCAGATAAAGGGTAAGTTTTGGATAGGATGAAGACAAAAAATAAAAGAAAAAAAGGTTTAGCTAATTAGAATTGGTTTGTTTTTTTTGACTAATTAAAAGAAAATGGATTATGCGAGAGTTATCCGAACTATTTTGTAATAATATTGCAGCATGGCAATTAGTTCAGCTGACGTGGAATTAGCTGTCTAATCCACAATGCAGTGGACCCGGCATTATCTTTGACGCGGCGGCTCGTTTATCAGCTTGTATGGGTCAACCCGACCCGAAAATTTTGCTATAAATAATTTCAATTTTCCTATTGGAAATTTCATTCGAATTCCAAAAACACGTGAATCAAGCTTCTTGTTAAGAATGAGAAATAGAAATAGAATTGGGATCGAAAGTATGATCTTCATTCAGGTTTACCACGTTTAAATAGGATACAAACTATCAACTAATACCTAAAAATAGAAAAAATATATATCTAACTAAATCTGGTAAATAAATAAAATATACGGTTAATCAAATCTATACTAACAACTCCCTAAATATCTGAGATATATTCTAACTAATTATCAGGCCAAAATATCCTCTTAATACTCCCCCTCAAGTTGGAGAGTGTAGGTTAATCACGTCCAACTTGTCTTTAACTTGTCTTTACGGTAGTCAATAACACCCAAGTTGTCTTTCACTCTTGTCTTCCCAGTAATGAAAATATCTGTCAAAAAATAGACCGCCTTTGATTGGTTTGCATTTTTAGACTTTCAAGAAATTATTGAATTTTCAAGAAAGATGCAAGACTCAGAAGTAGGCTGCCTTTGATCGGTTTGCATTTTTAGACTTTCAAGAAATTATTGAATTTTCAAGAAAGATGCAAGACTCGGAAATAGACCGCAATGATTGACTCGAGGATTGATAACTTGTCCATTTAATTTGATTTGGAACAAGTGAATATCCTCCCTGATCACTTGTTGGTCCATGCATAAATGCTTTAGTGGATAATGACACCAAGATCGGTGCTTTGGATCACTTGAGAGGCTGTGAAAGAAAATACGAACATCTTGAATATGTCACCTTAGAGCTTGGTGAGAAATTTGAAGATGCTTATAACGTATTCTTGATATTGGATGATTGACGATGATAAAGACTTCACTGATTGGTTAGGGTTTGGCTTTAGGTTTAATACTCCCCTTGGACTCAGAGTCCAAGGGGGTATTAGGAATACCATGATCGGTGCTTTGATATTAGAATATCAAGATCGGTGCTCTGATACCATGTTAAGAATGAGAAATAGAAATAGAATTGGGATCGAAAGTATGATCTTCATTCAGGTTTACCACGTTTAAATAGGATACAAACTATCAACTAATACCTAAAAATAGAAAAAATATATATCTAACTAAATCTGGTAAATAAATAAAATATACGGTTAATCAAATCTATACTAACAACTCCCTAAATATCTGAGATATATTCTAACTAATTATCAGGCCAAAATATCCTCTTAATACTTCTACTTCAACCTCTGCTTTGAGCCATGGTGAAGATCCCGGTAAATGTACGGAATTCCGGTGAGGATGACTTGTTGTGTGGAACGGCGAGCTTTTCCGATGTTTTTTTTAGATTTCTAGAGGATGGTGAGATGTCGTCGGGAAATTACTGGACATCTGGTGACCGGAATGGTTACTCTGACGACGAAGAGGATGGAAACTCCTGCGATTTGGAAGAGAGTAGGGCGTTTTGGATCTCTCAAGATGAACTTCTTCAGGTACGATCCAGTAATTATGATTTAAATTAGGTCGTAAACAGAGGAGCGATTTCTGTAAATTGATTGTTGAATTTGATTTTTCAGGCGACGTTACGGAGAACGAGTTCGATTGAGTCGAGAATCCGCCGAGCAACGGCGGAGATTCTGAGGGAAATGAACATAGAGTCGACGATATGTAAGTGCGGGACGTCGCCGGCAGGAGGCTGCCGGAGTTGCTGGCAGAGAGAGATCTGTAATCGGATGCGAATCGCCAGTTTCAATTGCGCGGTGTGCAAATCGAAATGGAAAAGCGCATCTGACATTCCATCAGGTAAACAGAAACAACAAATTGATGATTGACCTAACCGATCAACAGAACTGAAAATCAACCAAAAAATGGAATCGAATTAGGAATCTAATTGGAAGAATCCCTCATTTTCAGGCGAACATTCGTATTTGGAAGTTGTGGACAATTCGAGTTCGAGAAGAGGCGAAATTCGCGTGGTGATCGAGCTCAATTTTAGGGCAGAGTTCGAGATGGCGAGAGCGAGTGAAGAATACAACAAATTAATCATGCGATTACCGGAGGTGTTCGTCGGGAAATCAGAGAGATTATGGTCTCTGATTAAGATCCTATGCGCGGCGGCGAAGAGGTGCACTAAGGAGAAGAAGATGCATCTGGCTCCATGGAGGAAACAGAAATACATGCAATCGAAGTGGCTAGGGAGGAGGGAGAGGGCGGCGGAGACGTCAGCGGATCTGCCGGTGAATTTCTCGGACCGGCCGGCAAAGTCGAAGGCGTCGATGCTAACATTCGATCTGCTAGACAATTTGGCTGGCCTGCATTGCAGCGCAGTCGAAGTTGTTTGAGGCTGAATTTTTGGGGGTTAGGTTTTGTTAGAATGTGCTCATAAATCAAATTGATTATGCCCTCTTTTAATGCCCAGAGTTGTTATGAATTTGGTAGGTTTAAATTTTATATAAATAATATACTTCCGATTTTAATTCATTTTTATCCTCTTTACAGTCCATTTTGGTAATCAATTGAAGTTGTTGCACAATTCTATTTTTAATATAATGTTCTTTTTAGCAAATTAAATACAATGCAATTAAAAATATAAATTTGCTATATTTTAAAACAAAAGAAAAATCATAGGTATAATATCTCCTTCCAACAAGACCTCTAAAAAAAATTATATTATATTTACTTCCCATATATATACCTAATGTCAAATTTTTTTTTTTTTAAAAGTAGGTTTAGTGAGTGTACTTATTTATTATTATTATTATTTTGAGCTTAACTATCTATAAAAGTTTAAATTCAAATATCTTTTAGGATAAGGAAATCGCCTCTGATCCATATCAATTAAAGTGGTGGAACGCCCTCATGAGTTAAAAACAGTTCTCTAAAAAATACCATTCTGTATCATAATCGAATGAATGAGAGTCAAAAGGCTAAAAGAGTTCACGACCCAATAGGTGAAAGAAGTTTGAGATAGGAACCAAAATAGATGGCAAATGGCTACGTTTTAGTTAGAGTTCGATAGTGAATGAAGGCCACATATAAATTAGTTGATTATTTTTTCAAAGATAACATTTAACCATTACAAAAAAAATTGAAGGGTCACAAATTGTTGAGAAATAAATATATTTAGATAAAATAAATATTAATTCACGCCGCTTATCAATTCTACTAAAGAAATAAAAGGGCTATGAAATATCTTTCGACAACTTACTAATGAACGAACCAAGCCATCAAATTATTGAATCGCAACACACACGCATGCACGCACAATTTACCTTAAACTTGAGAATACTTTCGGTCTTTGTAATTACAGTTCTACCTGAAATACTATATTGATTAACGACAACTCGAATCTCTATTTTTTATATTTATATATAAAAATGAACGAATTGTTATAAATCGATGATCAAATCATTTACTCCATCATACAGAGTGAACTGATTGATTAATCAGAGAATAAAATAGGTATTCATATTGATATCGTAAATAATTCTTCCAATAAACAAACAAGAGGATTGTATAATAAAAAGACATTAAGATATAAGAGTTAATACTCACGTACCTATAATGTTGACTTCAAACGTAAAATCAAATCAATGTCACACACGTCTCCACAAAAAAACATGTTAATTTTAATCAAATCAATTTCATCATTTCTCGATGAAAAACATGTTTAAGTTAAATCAAAACATCATGTGTCTACGTGAAAAACATGTTAATTTTGGAGTGTTCTTGCAGCCCACGAGCGGCTGCCAAACTTGAGTTGAATTTTAAGCCATAAAAGGGGAAGCAATTCCGTTGATTATTATCACAAATCAAGGTTTTGTTTGTTTTGTTCTTTAAAACAATGGAGATTTTGGAAGATTCAGCAGCTCCCATGAGCCCTTTGAGCCAATACTTCAACACCTCTGCAATGTGTGTTTCTGTTCTGGGTTTCATTGAACTCGAAGCTCCAATTTCTGCCTCCCACGCTATGAACATTGGCACTCATGTTCTCATCCCTGCTAACCCACGTTTCAGTTCCATCATGGTTCCCTTTCTCTCTTCTTCCACTAATAATATTATTAAATTTATCGTAATTCATCCCCTAATATATTTAAGTATATTAGCAATTTAATTTAGTTTTATGATATGCATATTATGTCGGAAGGGTAAGAAATTTTACCTACCAGACGAGTCTTAAAAATTTTAAGGGGAACCCCGAAAGGAAAAATTCAAAGAGAACAATATTTGCTAGCAGTGGACTTGAACCGTTACAAATGGTATTGGAGCTAGACACCGGGAGATGTGTCAGCGAGGAGGCTTAGCCTCGAAGGAGTAGACACGAGGCGGTGTGCTAGCAAAGACGCTGGACTCCTAAGCGAGGTGGATTTGGGGGTCCCACTGATTGGAGAAGGGAACAATTGCCAGCGAGGACGCTGGCCCCCAAGGAGGTGGATAGTGAAATCTTAGTGAGGAGAACGAAACATTTTTTTTTATAAGAGTGTACAACTTTCTCCCCTAATGGGGAATTTGGAAATAGAAAGTTCAAAGAGGATAATATATGTACGAATGTTAATTAAAAATTAAATTTACTGTAACCTATCAACTTAATTTTTACGATAAGAATTGACGTGCAGGTGAAGGAAAAGTGGTTCGGGGAGAGAAAATGGAAGATGGTTGAGGTTAACTTAGAAGACCACATTTATACACCAAAATTTCCAGTGGATCTCTCACCATATGAATACGATGCTTACTTTGATGAATATGCCACAAACACAGCCACCAAACCCTTTTCTCAAAGCATTCCTTTGTGGGAAATTCACGTTTTCAACTACCCTACAACCCATGCACCATGCACTCTAATTTTCAAGGTTCATCACTCTATAGCCGATGGCTTTTGTCTTATGAACACCCTTTTAAGTTTCCTTAAGAGAGCCGATGATCCTTCTCTTCCTCTCACTTTCCCGTCTCGAAAACGCTCAAAACAACCCGAAAATGCACACGATTTTGGTCGTCTTAGCCATTTCCCAGCTTGTCTTTTCTTATCTCTTCGCAACTTCCTATCGAACTTTGGATATAGTATTGCGAACACTTTCGTGGAAGATGATCCAACGCCCATCAAACATGAAGGAGATTCCATGCAACTCGTTAAGCCAATTGCCATATCCACCATGACCTTTTCCCTTGATCAAATCAAACAAATCAAGACTAAGCTCAACGCGGTATATATCTTTCATATCATAAATTATAAGTTTAGTTCTTAAACTTTTTTAAACCTCTATCATATATTAACAGAGAGTTAATGATGTGATCACGGGAATTATATTCTTGGGAATTCGACTATACATGCAAGAACATAGCCCCGATTCATGGGAGGCAAATTCAAGTGCATTGATTCTACTCAACACGAGAAAGGCTAAGGCTTACAAATCAGTTCAAGAGATGGTCAAAACCGACTCGGACGTACCGTGGGGAAATAGAATCGCCTTTTTGCCAGTGCCAATCCCTAAACTCATGGATTCTACTCTTTCAACTGCCCCTTTGGAGTTTGTGAAGGAAGCCAAAAAGAACATCATGTTGCAAAGAAGCCCTCTCTCTGTGTTCATGGCTGCTAAAGTTTTTGATATGTTGAAGCATGTGACAGGCCCTGAGGTGAATCAAAACTTACCCCGTTTTTACCTTTATATGTATATATGATTTCTTGGATATGAATTTTATATATGTACTTTGAGTGTTAGATGGGAGCAAAGTTGTTCAAGAGGAAGCTAAACAATTCAAGCACTATCATATCAAATATGATTGGTCCTACGGAGAAAATGGCTTTGGTCAATCGTCCAGTTAAAGGCTTATACTTCACTGTTCCTGGTGTGCCTCAGGTATCATCTATTGTCTAGTTTTGAAACGTTTAAAAAAGGTTAAACTGTGATGTCCCACATTGGTTGGGAAGGAGAACAAACCACCATTTATAATCCATTTATAATAAGGGCGTGGAAACCTTCCTCTAGCAGATGCGTTTTAAAGGTTTGAGGGAAAGTCTAAAGAGGACAATATCTGCTAGCGGCGGATTTGGGTCGTTAGAAGTGGTATCAGAGCCAAGTTCTGGACGATGTGCCAGCCTTCTCGTTGTTCCCCGAAGGGGGTAGACACGAAGCGGTATGCCAGTAAAGACACTGGGTCCCAAAGGAGGTGGATTTGGGGGCGGTCCCACATCGGTTGGAGGAAGGAAAGAGTGCCAACGAAGACGCTGGGCTCCGAAGGGGGTGGATTGTGATGTCCCACGTTGGTTGGGAGGAGAACAAACCACCATTTATAAGGGTGTGGAAACCTTCCCCTAACCTTGAGGGAAAGCCCGAAAGGAAAAGTCCAAAGAGGACAATATCTGCTAGCGGTGGATCTGGGTCGTTACATAAACGAACCGTTCAACTTTTGAAATAATATGAATCCCATAATGTTTAAAGGTTTAAATATAATTATTACTCATAAATATTGAGATTAACCGTTCAACTTTTGAAATAATATGAATCCCATAATGTTTAAAGGTTTAAATATAATTATTACTCATAAATATTGAGATTAACGTTTGTAATTTGAATTGTAGAGCCTAATTATAACAATTGTGAGTTACATGGGAGACTTGAGGATTGTGTTTGGAGGTGAGAAGTGCTTCATAGATTTACACAAGTTGAAAGCATGCGTTGAAGATGCCTTCCAAAGGATGCTGATCAAACAAGATACAGCTATGTTTTTTTTTTTTATGCATTTATGTTCGCTTCGAGTTTGTCTTGTCATATTTCGTACTTCAAATAAGTTAATTGAACAGTTATACTCCTATTATGCTTTTCAAATCACGCGGTGTTATGCGGTACATACCATCATGACCAACATTAAGAAAAAAAAATACATAACTTTAGTGGATAATGTCTAAATGGAAAGCTCCATGGAAGCCTCGTGTATGTTCTCGAAAGCCTTTTCGATGCAAGACGTGAGTTTCTCCTCATCTATAAATTCTTTCTCGCTTAGAAGGGTAATTCTCAACTGTTCCATGTAGCTTATCACTGTTATCATCAAACTCTGAGGTATACCAACGACCGTAAAGTAGACTCCTTTTACTGGGTGACCACACATAGCCATTTTCTCCCTTGGCCCCATCATGTTAGATATGCTTAAGCTTGTATTTTGCGCCGTCTTGTACATAAATTTGGCTGCTACCTATCAAAAATTGCATACGCGTGCATGGTTAGTACTTGTAAACTAAAAAAGGGTGAGTTTTAGGAGTATTTGTGGACATACCTCTGGGCCTCTCAGCTTGTGTATCATCTCCATTAGCTTGCCAACAAGGAAAACAGCTGAAGAATATCTCTTTCTCTTGATCATCTTTTGTGCGGCTTTGATGAATTGGAGTGGGTTTGAAAGCTCACAGTCCGTGGCTTTGGGGATGTCTATATGCAAGAGTGCAAATCGATTCCCCCATGGAGCATTTGAGTTATTGGGCTTCAACATGTCTTGCACAGACTTGTAATTTTCAACCATCCTTGTGTTGATCAAAACCAATGCTGTCGAGTTTGAGTTGGTTGAGTCGGGACGAGTCTCTTGCATATATAATCGAAGTCCTAAGAAGATCATTCCCGTAATCACATCGTTGATCGTCTACCATACCATTAGTTCGTTAGAAGAATTAGAATATGATAAGTTGTTTATATGAGTTGAAATGTAACCGCTCAAACCCATAACTCATAGATATTGTTTGCTTTGGCCGGTTATGTGTCGTCGTCAACCTCAATGTGAGATCCCACATCGATTGGGGAGGAGAATAAAACATTATTTATAACATTTTAAAACCTCGAAGGGAAGCCTGGAAGGGAAAGTCCAAAGAGGACAATGTCTACTAGTGGTGGGCTTGGACTGTTACAAATGGTATCAGAGCCAAACACCGAGCGATGTGCCAGCGAGGAGGCTGAGCCCCGAGGGGGTGGACACGAGGCGGTGTGCCAGTAAGGACGCTGGGCCCTGCAGGGGGTGGATTGTGAGATTCCACATTGGTTGGGAGGAGAACCAAACATTCTTTGTAAGGGTGTGAAAACTTCTCCCTGGATGGGTTTAAAAACCTTGAGTAGAAGCCCGAAAGAAAAGTCCATAGAGAACAATATTTGTCAGTGGTGGGTTTGAGTTGTTACACTCACGGTTTTAAAACACCTCTACTAGGCAGAGATTTTTACATCGTTTTAAAACACCTATACTAGGTAGAGATTATCACATCCTTATAAGGATTCGTTCCTCTCTCCAACCAACCGACGTGGGATCTACTAGTAGACGTAATGAGCCAAAATAGAAAATATCTATTAACAGTGGACTAAGGCCGTGGAAATCATACCACTCCGAGTTTAGCTTTGATTTTCTTGATGTGATGAAGAGAGAATGTGATTGTTCGTATTGCAAATGTTCTAAACTCCACACCATCACCGCCAGATCTTATGGGTGTCAAGTGGTCTTCAAGGACACTGCTTTTCATCATGTTCCCACCAAAATCCAACACAGTATTCATAGATGACAACAAAAACTGGTACACACGACCTAGAATGTGCCCTGATTGCTCTAACTTAACTTTCCTTGAAGGAAAAGTTAAAGGAAGAGAAGGATCATGTGCTCTTGTCATGCTGGAAATAAGAACACCCATCAAAGAATAGCCATCGCCAAGTGAATGGTGAATCTTGAAAACTAGGTTTCCAGCTGCATTATTGGTTGGACAGTTGATGATATGAATTTCCCACAACGGTTTATTTTGAGGCAACTCTTGTAGAGCGTAATTCGTCATATATTCATTGAAATAAGCATCGAAGAGTTGAAGTGACAAGTTGGAGGGTGGAGTATGCACAATAATATGCTCTTCAATATTCACTTCAACTTTCTTCCATTTTCTCTCCCCATTTACGTCATTCACCTGATTTCAAAAGACGAACCAAAATCGAAAGACTAAGCTTATAATTTAACACGATATCGGATCGAGAGTCTTAATAGAAGTAAAAGTAAGGAGGTTGAGAGAGTACCATAATAGAAGTAAAGAGCGGGTTGAGATGGATGAGATCCTTAGCGAAGGACATAAATTTGTGTTCATCAATGGCAATTTCAAATTCCAAAACAGCAATAAGAGAAATGGAGCGTACAAAGCTGTTCATGGACTGTGCAGTGGGGCTGACTGGTTGAAGCAACTCATCTTCCTTCATCTCCATCGCCAATGCTCTAGATTTCAGACTCTTATTTTACCCAACCAAACTTCTATACTAAATATATATATATATATATATATATAGTTCTTTAATCGGGTACGAATTTTCAAATAAACGATAAGTTTCATTCCAGTAAAAACCACTATTTCTTTGAAATAAATGGGGTTTACTGATCATATTAACAGGTATCAGAACGACTTTTGTATGTCTTATTGAATGTACCAATGATTGGTAGAAAATGGAGAAGAGAAATTAAAAAAAAACGTTCGTGTAAAAGATTGGATTAGACTAGTTTAACGATAATTGATACGTTTTTGAACGGTTAAAATCTCGGAAAAGAGGGAACAAGGAATATTATTTCACATTCACAATAAAGGCAACTTAAATGCATTTTGCAGCTAATAAAGGCAACTTAAATGCATTTTGCAGCTAGGATGAGGATAGAAAATTTTAAAGTTGTGTGGTCAGTTGTAAATTTTGAAATTTTGGTTGAGAATTTAAGAGTATGTCTCTTCTATAAACAAACAAATAAAATTTCAAATACAATTTCATTTTTGTGGCATCCGAGAGCGAAACCAAATAAAACATTTTTTATAAAAGTGTGCAAATCTCTCCTTAATAGACGTGTTTTAAAATTGTGAGGTTGATTGGGCTTGGACTGTTACAAATGATATCAGAGCAATCATCGGACGGTATGAGGCACTGATCGTAGTAGGGCTAGACCCTTTCCATAGTAGACGCACAGTGCGAGGCACTAATTGGACGTGTTTTAAAATTATGAGGCTGACGACGATATGTAACAGACCCAAGCCGACAATATTGGCTAACAGTGGGCTGTAGACGCGTTTTAAAATCGTGAGGCTGACGACCATATGTAATGGGCCAAAGTGGACAACATCTGCTAACAATGAGTTAAAACGGACTATATCGCGGTGGGTGGTAGACACATTAGGCCAAAATAGACAATATTTGCTAACGGTGGGCTTGGGTTGTAAATACTTATTATAACCGTGAGGTTGACAGTGGTATGTAACGGACCAAAACAGACTATATCCGCTAGCCGTTGGTCGTAGACACTTCGGACCAAAGTAGACAATTGGGTTTGAGACGGTTGCAGTTTTGATTTATTTTTAATTGATTTAATGCTTATAAATAGTCGGCACTATTCTACCTACCAAAATTAATAATATTTAAATTGTGACTAAAAGTATTATATTTCTTTTTTTCTTTAATAAATTTAAGGATATTATTAACTTCAGTTTTGGTCATAATTAAATTTAACAAAACGTGGTATTAGAGTAAACCAATTGTGTGTTTGAAACTCCTCTAATGTAATTTTCTATTTTTACTTGTTCAATATTCTACAAATAAATATCAAATATAACTTGTACTAAGAAATATATATATATATATATATATATATATATATATATATATATATTTATTTATTTATTTTATACATAATTTTAGTAGATTATGTATAAATGGAAATCTCCATAGAAGCCTTGTGTATGTTCTCGAAAGCTTTTTTCATGCACGATGTGAGTTTCTTCTCATCTATAAATTCTTTTTGGCTCCGAAAGATAATTTTCAAATGTTCCATATAACTTATCACGGTTACCATCAAGCTCCGCAAATAATGGATCATTAAATTTTAATATAATAAGATATTAAACCAACTACTCATATTGACACTCCCCAAAGTCGCTAAGAGATTTGGTGAAGCTAAGCTTGTAAAAGTAAGCATAGTACCTGAGGGACACCAACGATGGTAAAGTAGACTCCTTTTACCGGGTGACCATACAAAGCCATTTTCTCCCTTGGCCCCATCATGTTTGATATCACTAAGCTTGTATTTTTCAACGTCTTGTTTGCAAATTTGGCTGCTACCTATAAAAAATTTGATACACGTTTGTACTTGTAAAACAAAAAAGTGTTAATTTTTAGGAGTATTTGTGGACATACCTCTGGGCCTCTCAGCTTGTGTATCATCTCCATTAGCTTGTCCACAAGGAAAACAGCTGAAGAATATCTCTTCCTTTTGATCATTTTTTGTGCGGCTTTGATGAATTGGAGTGGGTTTGAAAGCTCACAGTCAGTGGCTTTGGGAATGTCAATATGCAAGAACCCAAATCGATTCCCCCATGGAGCATTTGAGTTATTGGGCTTCAACATGTCTTGCACAGACTTGTAATTTTCAACCATCCTTGTGTTGATCAAAACCGATGCTGTCGAGTTTGAGTTGGTTGAGTCGGGACGAGTCTCTTGCATATATAATCGAATTCCCAAGAAGATCGTTCCCGTAATCACATCATTGATTGTCTATCATATCATCATTTCGTTAGAAGAATTAGAATACGATTAGTGGTTTAAATGTGTTGAAATGTAAAGAAATATATTGTAACAACCCAAGTCCACCACTAGCAGATGTTGTCCACTTTGACCTATTATGTATTGTTGTGAGCTTCACCGTGAGATCTCACATCAACTGGGCAGGAGAACAAAACATTGTTTATAAAAGTATGAAAACCTATCCCCAGTAGACATATTTTAAAACCTTGAGGTGAAGCTCAGAAAAGTCTAAAGAGGACAATATCTTTTAGCGATGGGCTTGGACTGTTACAAATGGTATCAGAGTTAGACACCGGGCAATGTGCTAGCGAGAAGGTTAAGCCCTGAGGGGGTGGACAAGAGGCGGTGTGCCAGCAAGGACGCTAGGTTCCAAAGGGGGTGGATTGTGAGATCCTATATCGGTTGGAGAACGGAACGAAACATTTTTTATAAGGGTGTGAAAACCTCTCGTAATAGAGGATTTTAAAAACTTTGAGAAGAAGCCCGAAAGGGAAAGCCCAAAGAGGACAATAATTGCTAATGGTGGGCTTAGGCTGTTACACTCACGATTTTAAAACACGTCAGACGCGACAATACGTAACGGGTCGAAACAGCTAACATCTATTAGTAGTGGACTAAAGCCGTGAAGATCATACCACTCCGAGCTTGGTTTTGATTTGCTTGATTTGATGAAGAGAGAATGTGATTGTTCGTATTACAAATGTCCTAAACTCCACATCATCACGACCAGATCTAATGGGTGTGAAGTCGTCTTCAAGAACACTGCTTTTCATCATGTTCCCACCAAAATCCAACACAGTATTCATAGATGACAACAAAAACTGCGACACGCAACCTAGAATGTGCCCTGATTGCTCTAACTTAACTTTCCTTGCAGGAAAAGTCAAGGGAAGAGAAGGATTACGTGCTCTTGTCATGGTAGAAATAAGAACACCCATCAAGGAATAGCCATCGCCAAGTGAATGGTGAATCTTGAAAATTAGATTTCCAACTGCATTACTGGTCGGACAGTTGATGATATGAATTTCCCACAACGGTTTATTTTGAGACAACTCTTGTAGAGCGTAATTGGTCATATATTCATTGAAATAAGCATCGAAGAGTTGAAGTGACAAGTTTGAGGGTGGAGTATGCACAATAATATGCTCTTCAATGTTTAGTTCAACTTTCTTCCATTTTCTCTCTCCATTTACGTCCTTCACCTGTTTTCATAAGACGTTAATTTTCAAAGCAAAATTGAGAGACTAAACTTATAATTTAATACAATATGGGATCGAGAGTTTTAAGAGAAAAATAAAGTACCATAATAGACGTAAAGAGCGGGTTGAGACGGATGAGATGGTTAGGGAAGGACATAAATTTGAGTTCATCAATGGCCATTTCAAATTCCAAAACACCAATAATAGAAACGGATAGTACTGAGCTGTTCATGTGCTGGGCAATAGGGCTAACTGGCCGAAGCAACTCATCTTCCTTCATCTCCATCGCCAATTCTCTAGATTTCAACTCTTTTTTTACCCAACCAAATTTCAATATATACATACATACATATATATATATATATAAATGGGGTTTATTGATCATATTAATGGGTATCACAACTACTCTTCTATGTCTTATTGAATGTATTATTAACCTAGCTGTTCCAACCGATACCGAAAATGGAAGTGTAAGAGAAACTGCAGTACAAAAAAATTGGATTAGACTAAAATTGATATCTATTCATTTCATTTTGTGAGATTTTGTGGTTGGAGAGTAAAACGAAACATTTTTTATAAGGTGTGGAAATCTCTCACTAGTAGACAGTTTTAAAATTGTGAGGCTAGTTAGACTTGACCTGTTACAAATGGTATCAAAGCAATCACTGGACGAGGGCGAGACCCTAATCGGAGTAGGGCTAGACCCTCTCCTCCATAGTAGATGCGTTAATGCGCTAACTGGCGGATGACAATCCCCTTCCTTATCCTTATCCTCGTCTCATATTGCAATTTTTATCTTACAAAATTTTCTATGTATTTTTGCATGGATCAAGCCAAGAATTCCTTACCCGAAGTCATATATGTATTTGAATGTTATGAGTTCAAATCTTTTTTTTTTTTTTTTTAAATATCTTTAAAAAACAAAAGACTTTCTTTTATAATTGAAATGAAATATATATTTTTTAAAATGTAAATTATATTATGTGATCGACTTGTATAATAACAATAGTAGGGGTAAATAATTCTTGTCTCAACTCATACAAGTCTTTTATTAATGTCTTACCAAACTCTGTAGAAAAATTTTGGGTCTACTTGATGAGGTAATTAAGTTATTGAATTAAAAGCATGCGTAAATAATTTTTTTAATTATAAAATTGAAGGAAGAAAATAGAAGTTAATAATTAATAACGTCTAATAAAATGGGAGAATTTGATTAGCGTGGTTGGTAATTGGTATTAATTAATCCATTTTTTAAAAATCTTTTGTTGGCTAATTTTGCTGTCCCCTTTTATGCCTCTTGTTTCTTTGCTAGATTTTGTTAGTTAATTTAGTTGGAGGTTAAAAACCCTAGAGTTCGGTTGGAGGTCGCACTTCGTGGGAATTTTGTCAAGGACCCAGACCTAAAGATGTAGAGACGGTGAAGCCTTCTTCGTCTCACATTCTATTTCATTTTCCATCCTTACAAAAAAATTTCGTTTATTTTTGTATGAACAGAGACAAGATTCTCTTCAAACACTTCAGAACTCTAATGATGTTTTTGATAGCTATGATTTCAAGTGACGACTCTCAAGACACCGAATAAAACACATCCGTGCAATCACATAAGCACTTTTAACCTCTACTACCAGAATCATATTTTTTGTCGAAGAACAAACTTTTTAAATCATGTGGTGTCATGGCATACCCACAATCATGACCAACCAACCTTAAAGACATTATATTTTTTTGCTACTCTTTTGTGGTTTGATCTGTCTTTAAGAGAGGTGTATCTACACTAAGCCAAGTTCCAAGGCTTCGAGATTCCCGTGCTTTTACATCGATCCAACAATCTTTTCTTCCAACAAAGTATATCATACTAATCAAATCTATTCAAGATTGGGTTAGAAACAAACGAATCTCCATTATTATGATATTGTTCACTTTGAACATAAGTTCTTTTGATACAGCACCTCATATTAAATTAATAAAGATAGTATTCCTTATTTATAAATTTACGACATTCTCCTTAAGTAGCCAACGCGGGACTACCCCTCAACCATATTACTAAGAGAAAAAAAAAGATACATAGCTTTAGTAGATAATGTCTAAATGGAAACCTCCATGGAAGCCTTATATATGTTCTCGAAAGCCTTGTTCATGCAAGAGGTGAGTTTCACCTCATCTATAAATTCTTTCTCGCTCCGAAACGTAATTCTCAAATCATCCATATAACTTATCATTGTTATCACCAAACTCTGCAAATAACAGATCATTAAATTCTTATATAACAACATATCAAACTCTTGCCTATTGACATTCCTAAATTACCTGAGCTACACCAACCACGGTAAAGTAAACTCCTTTTACCGGATGACCACACACAGCCATTTTCTCCCTTGGCCCGATCATGTTTGATATCACTAAGCTTGTATTTCTAAACGTCTTGTACATAAGTTTGGCTGCTACCTATCAAAAATTTCATACACGTTTGTACTTGTAAAACAAAAAAGTGTGTGTTTTTAGGAGTATTTGTGGACATACCTCTGGGCCTCTCAGCTTGTGTATCATCTCCATTACCTTGTCAACAAGGTAAACAGCTGAAGAATATCTCTTTCTCTTGATCATTTCTTGTGCGGCTTTGATGAATTGGAGTGGGTTTGAAAGCTCATACTCAGTGGCTTTGGGAATGTCTATATGCAAGAACCCAAATCGATTCCCCCAAGAAGTATTTGAATTATTGGCCTTCAACATGTCTTGCAAAGACTTGTAATTTCCAATCATCCTTGTGTTGATCAAAACCAATGCTGTCGAGTTTGAGTTGGTTGAGTCCGGACGAGTCTCTTGCATATATAATCGAAGTCCTAAGAAGATCATTCCCGTAATCACATCGTTGATCGTCTACCATACCATCATTTCGTTAGAAGAATTAGAAATATCAAGTTCACAGCTAGTAGATATTGTTTGTTTTGACCTGTTATGTATCGCAGTCAGCCTCAGTGTTTTAAAAACATGAGGTTTTCACATCCTTATAAAGGATGTTTCGGTTCTCCTCTCCAATAGATGTGGGATTTGCTAGTAGTATGAGACTGACAATGATACGTAACGGGCCAGAGCGAACAATATGTATTGAGTAGAAAGGAAATCATATCGCTCCAAGTTTGGTTTTGATTTGTTTGATTTGAGGAAGAGAGAATGTGATTGTCCGTATTGCAAATGTCCTAAACTCCACATCATCACGACCAGATCTAATGGGTGTCAAGTGGTCTTCAAGAACACTGCTTTTCATTATGTTCCAACCAAAATCCAACACAGTATTCATAGATGACAACAAAAACTGAGACACACGACCTAGAATGTGGCCTGATTGCTCTGCCTTAATTGTCCTTGAAGGAAAGGTTAAGGGAAGAGATGGGTTATGTGCTCTTGTCATGCCGGAGATAAGAAGACCCATGAAGGAATAGCCATCGCCAAGTGAATGGCGAATCTTGAAAACTAGGTTTCCAGCTGCATTACTGGTTGGACAGTTGATGATATGAATTTCCCACAACGGTTTATTTTGAGGCAACTCTTGTAGAGCGTAATTGGTCATATATTCATTGAAATAAGCATCGAAGAGTTGAAGTGACAAGTTGGAGGGTGGAGTATGCACAATAATATGCTCTTCAATATTCACTTCAACTTCCTTCCATTTTCTCTCCCCATTTACGTCATTCACCTGATTTCAAAAGACGAACCAAAATCGAAAGACTAAGTTTATAATTTAACACGATATCGGATCGAGAGTCTTAATAGAAGTAAAAGTAAGGAGGTTGAGAGAGTACCATAATAGAAGTAAAGAGCGGGTTGAGATGGATGAAATGCTTTGCAAACGACATAAATTGTAGTTCATCAATGGCCATTTCTAGTTCCAAAACGACAATAAGAGAAATGGATTGTACTGAGCTGTTCATGTGCTGCGCTGTAGGGCTAACTGGCTGAAGCAACTCATCTTCCTTCATCTCCATCGCCAATGCTCTAGATTTCAACTCTTTCTTTGCCCAACCAAACTTCAATAATACTATATATATATATATCTTCAATGGAGTACCGGTGAATCTTACTCTTAGTAAAAATTACCGTTCTCTTGAATTTAATGAAATTTACTGATTATGTTAATTGATCATATTAATAGATATCTGAACTGTTCGTCTATGTCTTATTGAATGTACTATAACATTATTGTTCCAACACTATTCAAAATGGAAGTTTAAAGATAAGCTAGCGTGTACAAAAGTTGGATTAGACTAAGAAAAATAGATTATATTCTCTCACGGATAATCCTTTAGGTTTTTTTTTTTTTTTTAATAATTAAGAGGGAACAACAAGTACCTTTCGCATTCAAGGCACTTCATTGCATTTCGCAGCTAAGAGGTTAAGAAAATTTTGAAATTTAGGTTAAAAATTTAAGAGTTGTCTCCGCTAAAAACAAACGAATAAAATTTCACGTACAATTGTATCCGATCTCACTTGGATGAGAGAGAAAACTAAATATTGTTTATAAAGTGTGAATATCTCTCTCTAATAAACTAGTTTTAAATGTGTGAGGTTAATTGAGCTTGAATTGTTACAGATAGTATAAGAGCAATCATTGGACGGGGTAAAACATTGATCAGATTAGGGCTAAACTCTTTCTATAGTAGACACGTTTTAAAACCGTGAGACTGAGGAGCTTGGACTGTTACAAATGGTATCAAAACAGTTACTGGACGGTGCAAGACACTGGTCGAAGTAGGGTTAAACCCTTTCCATAGTAGCCGCGTTTTAAAATCGTGAGGCTTAGGAGATTGACTTGTTACAAATGGTATTAGAGCAATCACCGGACGGTACTAGTCGGAATAGGGCTAAATCTTTTCCATAGTAAACGTGTATTAAAATCGTGAGGTTGATTAAGCTTGGACTATTACAACTGGTATCAGAGCAATTACCGAACAGTGCGAGATACTAGTCAAAGTAGGGCTGGACTCTTTCCATGGTAGACGACTTTAAAACCATGAAGCTCATGAGTTTAGACGGTTACAAATGGTATCAAAGCAATCACCAGGCGATGCAAGACACTAGTCAAAGTAGGACTAAACCCTTTTCACAGTAGACGCGTTTTAAAACCGTGAGACTAACTGTGCTTGAACTATTACAAATGGTATAAGAGCAATCATCGGACAGTGCCAGACACTAGTCAGAGTAGGGCTAGATTTTTTTTCACAACAGAGGTCTTTTCAAATCATGAGATTGATAGCAATATGTAACAGGCCAAAACAGACCATATGTACTGATGATTGACATGCTACAGTAGTTTTGATTTATTTTCAATTGATTTTGACTCTCATAATTAGTTAGTACTATCCTACCTACCGGATTTAATTTCATAGCTACTAGAATTAATTTTGTATCTAATAACATTTATATCGTGACTAAAGATATTATTTTCTTTTTCTTTTGGAAAATAGATTTAAGGATATTATTAACTTCAGTTTTGGTTAAAGAATAGTTTAGTATAAGAGTGGAGGTTAAGCCTGAGAAACAACCCAATCAAACTTCAATAATATATATATATCTTTCTTTCAGCTATGAAATAACTGCTACCTATCTCTTATATTTATGAATACAATCATTTTCAATCCAGCCTTGTTGGCTCATTTTCAACCCAGCTTCAGCCTGAGAATTTATTACTTGATCTATATTATAAACATGACTCCAAATATCTCCATAATTATGATATTGTTGGAACTCGATTTCACCTAAAAATTTTCATATTACCAAGTATAGTCGTCTTTAGTTAATATGCCAATAATCTTTATCTTAAATTACAACGATTTTTTGCATTATCGAGACCGTTATTAACTGCGGCAAGACATTTTCTAGAGGTTTAACAACCAGATCACAGGATGGTCTACCACGACACTACACTCCTTACTCCTCTATAACGGCTTCTCTAGGAAACAATTCCAACAATTATCAAAAGCGATCCCTTTCGCCGCCAAATTCCTTCTTTCTCACAAAAGTAATGGTAAGAAACTGTTACTCTCCAAATTTGAAAGGCGGCAGAGACCTTATGTGAGATTCCACATCGATTGTAGGGGGAACGAAAAACATTTCTTACAAGGGTGTGAAAATCTTTCTCCAGTAGACACATTTTAAAAGTCTTGAAGAGAAGCCTCAAAGGAAAAAACCGAAAAAAACAATATTTGCTGAGGGTAGATTTGAGCTATTACACCTTTGTACAAATACCTAATGGGCCAAATTCAAATGTGTCTGATTTGTAAGAACTCAGATCCAAAACCTTCGATTTGTACAAACTCCCAACTTGTTGTGGCAAAAATCCAGATAAATTAGTGTTGATCAACAAAACTTGAAACCAAACTTGAACGATATTATAAAAGAAGCTATACTAAACAGTATCTGAGACGTATATTCGGCAAACAACAGAGTGCCCGTGTTCTTTACGATATACGAAACAAACGAGCAATGCTCGAAAGACAAACATTTCTGCACACGATGGACGTTAGCTAAAGGCAATTGCTATGTGAAGAGTAGTTCTTAAATGACCAACATTACATTTTCAAGCTCAAGCTCAAGCCACAAACAACAAACACTCAGAACTCTGGTGATACTTTTCATAACAGATAATTCAACTTACTTGAGAGAAGCTACACAACCTTCACTCATCCGTGCAGTCACATAAGCTCTTTTAACCGCCACCACCAGAACCATATTTCTTGCCAAGAACAAGGAGCTGAAGCTTATCATACCCAGCCAACACACCAGCACCGGCAACAGCACGCAAAATGTTTGCCCCAGCACCCTTGAAGAGAGATTTAGTACCCTCATTTTTAATGATCTGTTTGAATGCGTCCAAGGAGCTATTGTACTTGACTGCTTCACCTGAGGTCATCATCATTCTTCTTCGGACGGTATCAATAGGGTACGACGCCAAACCAGCTCCTATTGTGATACACCATCCAAGCAAGAAACTAGCAAGGAAACTATCCTGCCAACATTGCATGAAATCCCTTGTTAATACACACATACATAGGGATGACTCCGGATCTTGTAGCCACTTATCCAGGTGAGGTCTCATGTGAATAAAAATTTGATCTATCTTGTAACAGGCAGAACACAATTGAATTCAAGTATGATTAATGAAATTACTGACCTGCAACTCACCAACCAGAACCACGGGCTTCAACGAATCATACATTCCGAAGTAAAGACCACGATACACGATAATTCCAACACAAGAGATGTTAAATCCACGGTACAGCCCAGCAATGCCATCAGATTTAAGGGTTTTCTTGTAAACATCAACAAGACCGTTAAACTGTCTCTCACCACCCTTTTTAGCGGCCTTAGCATCATTGGCTAAACGAGTTCTAGCATAATCAAGGGAATAAACAAATAAAAGAGAGGAAGCACCAGCAGCACCACCAGAGGCCAAATTCCCAGCAAACCATTTCCAGTAACCATCTCTGTCTTTCTTGAAGTTGAACAGCCTCTTGAAGTAATCCTTGAAGGCAAAATTCAAAGCCTAGTGCACCAACAAATTTTAAATATTTAGCATAATTATTCTAATGGTAGACAAGGGGCAAAAAAACAGGAACAGATTCAAAACAAAAAAATCAAGAAAAATAAGAGAATTGATCATTTTGAATTAAAAATAAAAGGAAAAAAGGATTGAAAAAATTATCTTATCAAAGGAAACGGACTTGTGTCGGGAAGTATCGGATGACATTTGCTGTGTTTCCCCTCCATAGGGCAATGACTCCTTCATCTTTAATTGTTCGGGCAAAGCAGTCAGTAATTCCTTTGTATGGCTCAGATAGCCTACCAGTTTTAAGCATCTCATCCTGATTTTGTATCAGCAGTTTGACACGCTCAATTGGAGCAGCAGCAGTTTTCGAAACAGCAGCAGATACTCCTCCCATGAGAAAATCCACAGCAAACCCAGCTGCACCTTTCTCAGAAGGAGCTTGTACAAGAAACGGAGAAGTAGGTGAAACTCCAGCCAAGCCAGTACCATGATAAGATGTCTTTAAGAGATTCTCCAAGACTCCATTAGCATGTACACCTGTTGTACTATAACGTATGGACTGAAAGCCAGGGGAAAGCCTAGAAGTGAGGTGAGAATGGCCACATATCTTCTGAAACACTGATGAATGGTGTGATGTGTCTGCCATCGTAAGGACTCAGATAGGGACCTATGTAGGGGCAAGATAAACATGGCTAAGTTTTTCGTTTTAAAAAATTGCAAGATGACACCAAGTTTTAAGCATAGAAAGCATAACTAATTAAACTTTTCTGAGAACATTGTATCCAAGAATAACAAGAGTCTGTCAAAATAGGCATTAGTTACATTCTTTGTTGAAAATAGTAGAAACTAGGCTACTCAGGCGTTTTGTTTCAACTGAAAAACATTGTTCTAAGATCAGAAGGAATCCATACAAATACCAAGAATATTTCCCTTATCTATAGAAAACTCCTAAAAGCAAGATCACTTAGTTAAGGCCTTATATTCCAGTCATACACAGAAGTGCAAACTGCAGACCACTAAATAATGAACTTGAATAGATGCAGCAGAAAAGATAATGTAAATTATGAATCCTAAAGTATATTCGTTCCTTACTGTCAGAAAAAATTGTAAGGCTCGAATCATTGTAAATTGCAATTTAAGATATGTCAAAATCGAAGTGTACAAATGGAACCTCACTATACCTATCCTAGTTATCTCTTACAAATCGTCCACACCAATAATTTCTCTCCTCCAAAAGGAGAAAAAAAACACAATGCTACTTTGCTAAATGATGAATACAGTAGAAATTGGGGGTGGTCTTTATGGCACACGTAGTGGCAGTTACTCGTGCAAGTCGAGTGAGAAGGACTTTCTCTCTCTTGCCTCCCTATCTAGTCTAGTAAGTAAGGCTTTGGCAGCAGGGGAAGTAGGGAACTAAAAACATCAGGAAAAAAAACCCGGCTCGAGCTACCTTAGCTGAGGGGATCGCTCCCTGTGATCTAAGTCCGTTTAGCTGCATCTGGCCCTTCTCTTCAACTTCTTTACCCACGGGATAACCAAATTCAAAATTTGTTCCCATGTATCACATACAAGCCAAAAATAAAGAGCACGGGAAATTAGAAGAAAATGCAACTATAAATTAAGTGACACCCAAATGATCACCCTTGTACCAGATATGAGGAAGAACCCCACTCTTCACTCTCTCGATTCTTTCAGTATACCATTTTTGCCACAAAACTTATGCTTGAGATAGCAATATTTGTGGATATCTTTCTCCCTTGACTTCAAAATAGGATGACTACAACCACACAATTGTGATTCTGACCCTTGAGATTCCCCACTCGGCGTCAACCACACCATTACCACAGAATATTAATGCAAGGAATATACCAAAAAGCATATAATACGCTCGAGTGTAGAAACACAACATATTATCAAATTCTCTACAAAACTAAAAGAAGCAGAAATTTCACATTTCGGAAATATCAGGAACACTACAGCACGCAAATCGGACCAAAAACTTTCTGAAGCTAGGAATAGAAATCATCTCCGACAACAAACAAAATACCTTATGCCTCAAACAAGTTCTCAGTAGAGCCAGAGACAGAACATGACGAACACAACCAGCTAGTAGAATTAAGCTAAGATCTCCATTAAGGAGCAAAACCGAACATAAATCCTTTCCAATAAGCTTGAATATTCTCAGTAAGTACAGAACATAAAAGAGTGAAATAATGCACGAGATCAAACAAAAAAGACACCAACCTGTTAAGGCCGCCGGAAGTGAAATAGACAGAAATGGTGAGAGATCACCAAGTAGGTGCCTTGCGAAATGCTAGTTCATGCAGAAATGAAGTCGGAGAACTCGCGGAGACTAGGGTTTGAACCATAATGACAGATTCACCCTTCCATGTACCTGTAAATAACAACTATGCCACTCTCTGTTTCAAACGATTAACGATATGTAACTGTTACTGAATGACCGTGGCGGCGCCGTTGGTGAGACAGTGGGCCTTCGTTTGTCAAATGGGCTAGAAGCGACAAGGTAAAAGCCCAAAATTACTAGCTTAGTTGGGCTTGATTTGGTCCATTGGGCCACAAATAGGACGGTCAAGAGCCCAAATTTACTCGGTAGTTGAAAATCTTCCTTTTTATTTTTATTTTCTTAATTTTTGAACTTACATTAATTAAAAAAAATAACCAAATAATGAAAATTTGATGAAGTTGAGATATTAGTGTAAATTAGATATCCATATAGCGTAGTCTATTAGACCTACCATACCTGTTAGAGAATGAAAATCCCACATCGTTAATTTAAAGAATGATCATACGTTTATAATCAAATAATATTATCTTCATTGGAATGAGACCTTTTGAGGAGCTAAAAGCAAAGTCACAAGAGTTTATATTCAAGGAGACAATATCATACCATTGTGAAGAGTCGTGTTCGTCTAACACCCATCACAAAGCCTCTGTCGCTGTTTATGTGTGTTCGTGGTCCATTGCTTTTGGAATCTTCTCTTCTCTTCTCTACCACTCCCACACCAACTGGTCTTTGTTGGCAAAATTGAAACAACAAACCATCTCAGCAGAAACAGTGGGAGAGGTTTGGAGAAGGAGAGGATGAAGGAGGAGGCTGTGGTGGGGGTGAAAAGGGTATAATCATCTGTGGTGGTGGTGGCGGCTCCGGGAACAAGGCGGCGGGGGTATGCGGTGTTGTCTAGCTGAGGAGAAGTGTATGACTGATATGAGAGAAGCCAAACGGTACCACAGGAGGCACAAGGTCTGTGAGGTTCATGCAAAAGCTCAGGTTGTGCTTGTGGGTGGGTCTAATCATCTGTCAGCTGCTGAAATTACCTCAAATGAAGGAAATGCATCATTATCTTATATACCACTTAAGACCCACCATTTGGATCACATATTCGTTCCTGCATACTCTAATATCATTTGTAACAAAATTTAAGTCCACCGCTTACATATATTGTTCATTTAACCAACTGATCCAACTAGAAGAGAGATTTATAAGAACATTTTTCTAACTACGATTTGACGTGTTTCATATGGCTCTAGATTCTAGCGGACAAAAACTTCGTAGTCGTGAAAAAATAAAAAAATGGCGGGCCCAGGTACTCATAAAATTTCATCCACATTTTACAAACCATCAGGTTTTGCTGGGAGGAGCTTGTGTCCTCATATGGCTCTAGATTCTAGCGGACAAAAACTTCGTAGTCGTGAAAAAATAAAAAAATGGCGGGCCCAGGTACTCATAAAATTTCATCCACATTTTACAAACCATCAGGTTTTGCTGGGAGGAGCTTGTGTCCTCATATGGCTCTAGATTCTAGCGGACAAAAACTTCGTAGTCGTGAAAAAATAAAAAAATGGCGGGCCCAGGTACTCATAAAATTTCATCCACATTTTACAAACCATCAGGTTTTGCTGGGAGGAGCTTGTGTCCTCATATGGCTCTAGATTCTAGCGGACAAAAACTTCGTAGTCGTGAAAAAATAAAAAAATGGCGGGCCCAGGTACTCATAAAATTTCATCCACATTTTACAAACCATCAGGTTTTGCTGGGAGGAGCTTGTGTCCTCCCTCCTCTAATATCCTAAGCTAATTCTACTTTACATGGTGCCGCCACTAAAAGAATAGAACACATTGGTACGCTAATAAACTGAATCTCATTCATGCAGCCATTGGGGGGAGGGGTTCAAGAGTTCTTGAACATACACATTGGTCGGTTCTCGTGTCCGGCCCTCTCTCGTGGGATTCAATCACCTTAAATGAGCTGCGGGGCTGGACATTGCAACTTTAATCAAAGTTTGCCTCTCCTTTCTTCTCTGAAGGACACGCAAGTTTGGCGACTTGGCCTTTGTTGTTTCCTTAACACTCCTATTTTTTCACATGGGAAGAAGATGATACTCAAAATCAATCAAAAGAAGATGTGAAATAACACAAGAAGAAGTTTGACTCTTAATTGGTATTGTTTTCCAACCTTTGGGGGTGAAATGGATGGTCGAATTTGGGCACTGGTCGAGCATGGTGAACCAATGTTCTTCTCAGTTGTTTCAATGCTTTCTCTTCCTCCACCTGCAAATATTTTTAACATAGCTTTTAGTTGGGAACAGATTTGGCATATAACAACAATGAAATGCAAAAGATCTGAAAAGAATAAACCAACCATTCTTGCTGCGTCGCTCTCTTCTCTGTATCTCTTATACATCATCTCTTTCTCCTTGACCTGTCAAAGCTCTTTCAAACTTAGCAAACAAGAACTATCTTTGAAATATTCAGAAAATCTGAAAAGAACATGCACCTTTTCATCAAACTCTGCTCTATCCACAGCCCGATTATCAACATGAAGATTGAATTTTTGAATTTGTGTGAGGGGTTTCCGTGATTTCTCTGGTAGTGGAATTGGGTCCCTGCCAAATTGAATGCAGACATTGATTATTGTCCCTATTCTGGCTTTAATATTTCTATCTTGATATGTGTAATTAATGTGGAACGTACTCCTTTAGAACCGGTTGGGCCTTGAAATTTCTCATTCTGGCCTCTTCTTCCTCTAATTTCCGTCTTTCTTCCATTTCCCTTTCCATTTCTTCCTCATGTCTCACCAGACTTTCCAGCTGGAAAGGTTCAGGTTTGGTGCACTGCTTGGGCTCTGGTTTTGGTGGCATCTGCTCAAACAACAATTATTCATTAGCATGATGGTTCTATCTCCCATAGCACGCATAAGCTTTTTACAGGAAGTTGTTGTTGGTTATACTTACCACGGGATAATCGGTGGTGTAAGGGTATGGCTTAGCCCTTGGAATGGCGGCTCTTTCCTCTTCCAATTGCTTGTGCACAAGCCCCATGAAGAATTTTCTTTCTTTCTCTGCCCCTCTTTCCTGATGCCATCCAAGAAGCAAAGGTGAGAAAAATTGAACTTCAATTATGCTCTTGTTGCTTATGAAGATAGGCTGGCTGGCCACTTACCTCTGTGTAAAGATGAAAGGGGTTGGGCTTAGTGTTCCTTGGCAATGGATTCTCGCTGCGAGTTTCCGAACTTATTGAGAGCTGCAAGGGGAAAAAAACGAGGATGATAACGTATTTGAAATCATTTACTCTTAGAACTTTAAGGACTTGAAAAGCTGCTACCTTGTCGAACAGATCAGCAACAACAGTTGGTGGCGGAGGAATTCTCTCATTTGTAGCAAAATGAAATTCTTGCGGTTTAGTTACATGTTTTTTCAAGTTACAGAACACCCCCAACTCTCCCTTACTTCCAAATATCTGCAGCAGATCATGAAGACAAATTTATCCTATTGAACATAAGAATAAACTGTTGATTTCATGTAGCCAAGGCCAAGTACACACCTTTTTATCTAATGGTCTTGCTTTGAACTTGGGAATTTTCTCCAGCGCCTCCTGCTCAATTTCAAGGAAACTCTTCGCCCGCGGTGGACGAGCCCTTAGTGATGTGTGCAGAACAGGGGTCTTTGGTTCGGTAAGATAAGCTTTCCATTGATTATTCTGAAGAGAATTGAAAAAGCCACTATAAATTTAGCTGATTGAAAAGGGTGTGGGATGGGAATATAGTACTACAATGGACTTCTAATAACCTGACGAGACGATTCTGTAGAGATTACTGAAGCTGAGTCTGCATGTTGGTTCGCTCTAGCCATTGTCTCAAGGTGAAATTCCTGCAACAATCATGTACTCGATTAGTCAATCATGTTGGTTCACTCTTTGTTTCAATGCTGGCTCGCTGGCTCGCTCGCTCACCTGAAATTCAGGAGTCTGGGGTGTAGTCCTCGGTACTACAGGTAATTTGGGAGCTTCCAAGATCTATAAAGCATAACATAACGAGCAGGTAAATCATATTCAGCATGCCTCTATCATCAATCGACTAGACTAAGTAAGAAAACAAGTAGAATGGTTGCAAATGTCAAGCTTTATTTACCTTTTTGTTTAGTGGTCTAGCTTTGAACTTTGGAATTTTGGCCATCATCTCCTCCTCTAGCTCAGCTGAACTCTTCACCTTGGTAGAACGAACTCTTTGCGCCGTTTCAAATTCAGGATCCTTTGGCCTAGTCAAAGTTAGCTTGGGCTTCATTTGTGTAAAACTTCCAGCATCCTGTAAAGAAAAGTGATTAATTACATACAATCAACGAAACCCAGATCAGATGAGGCGTGGGGAGGATAGAAAAATAGGATTTGAGTCATTTACATTAGAACGAGCGTTGTTGACATGAGGCAGTGATAAACCTCTGGTACTTGACTGGAACTTCCTCATCATTTCAGCCATTGAGACAAATGGTGCAGGCTCTCGAA